ATAATAGTATTATAAAACCTTACTCTACGAGGATAGTTGTACAAGTATATATTGTAGCTTCGGGTAGGTACTTATCGAGGTTAAAGCCTTCGAGATCTGCTTTTATATTAACGAGAAGCTCGGGTAGTACTTAAACGCCGAACTACTCTACGCCGAACCTATATAGATGCCTATCGAGCATAACCGGAATACTAGAGAGTACGTTATCGCCTTAAGCTCTAATCTTGTAATAGTTCTACAAATAATAGAATTCGTCTATTACGCTCCTTATAATCGGTATATATACGAAGAGTATAGCGATCCGGTCGTACTTATCGTTAGGTAAGAATGCCCCTTATAGATTAAGCGCTAGGAAGAGTTTGCGGAGACCGGAGAGAGCCTTAGCCGACTAGCCCTAGATGTGCTTAATCCTCTAATTTATGCGGCTTGTGCTATAGCGCACTATCTCGCTAAAAGTTAGTACTATTAGCTCGATGTCCTCTGCGGCCTCTTTATTATACTCGCTATTTAGAGTGCGGCGGATCGTAATATAGGCGTTAGTAGCTATAGTAGTCTCTAGTCTACGGTCGGATTGTAGGATTAGCGGGGCATATCCGAGTGTTTTAATAATCGAGACATATTAGGCTATAACCGAGACTATAGTGCGAGTAGTAATACTAACGTACATCTATTTAATTATACGTAAGAACGTATCGACTGCGCTATATATTTCGAAACCCTAGACTTCGAAAGCGCAGTATATATCTATAGACTAGGAATAGTTCGGTCCTAGAGACGGCTAGCTAGCCCTAGGTTTAAGGCATTAGCTTCGTAGATTAGTAGATTTGTGCTATATATACTATTAGCGTCTTATGCTGCGACGCCGCCTTTCGATACCTGCTAGATTAATTTCTCTAAGCGCTCTATAGATGCGATTACGGCCGACAATATTGTAATTCTAGCGCAGATATTAGTAGAGATTTCGTCGTCTGTAGTTATTAACTCTCTTACGTTATAGCTCGGTCCGTAGAATTTCGTAGATACCGAGTAGGTATTCCTCTTCTATACTTTAAGGAATTTGTTTATAAAGCTAGAGAGACCTCCTAATGTCGCGAAGCCGTCGGAGCCTAATATTAATGCTGTCGTCTTAAAGATATCCTTAAGCTTTAGCGTTAGATACCTGCACATAGTAGAAATAGAACGCGATACGTTGCTTAAGGATTGCGATATTATATATATAGTAATTCGATGCTCGATTTGGAGAGGTTATACCCTATGTCTTTAGACGTACTCGGAATTAAGAAAGCCTAATACGTGTTCCGAAATTGTAGTAAAGTGTAATAATAATGTCCTAATGCGTCGCGCTACGGTCTATCCGAGTTTCTATCTAGGCTCTAGCGAAGTTAATATTAATTAGAGGGCGACTAGCTATTATAGAGTATTTGTATAAGCGTCGAAGAGAGCGTCGAAAAGAGCGTCGAAGAGGGCGCCGAAGAGGGCGCTAATAAGAGCTTAGTAATAACCGAATGCGACTAGTCTACTACACTTATGCCGCTTGCTCTTTGCCGTACTAGAGGTCTAGATTAGCGAGTTAGCAGACTACTAAAAACGTAGTTCTATTTAGTATATTACATAGCGCGTAGTAATCCCTATTAGCAGTATACTCTAATAGGCGTAGTTTTGTTATAAAGCCCCGGCGAAGGCGCGGAAGGCTTAAGTTAGTAGCTAAAGGCTGTCTGCTATAGATTCGATCTACTAGTAATAGGCGGCGGTGCTACATCGTTAGCGAATTATACCTAGATTAGCAAGGGGTAAGTAACTCTAGGTATTAAAAAGCGTAATAGTTGCGGGCTTATAGTGCCCGCGAACGATGTTTATTGTATTACTATAGCCCGGCTAGGCTATACTATAGTAACGCTTGTTATCGAGTCCCTTACGAAGTATGCTACCTGCTCTTAATTCTCTATATTATAACTACCGCGATAAAGGCGAAATTAGATATTACGGTACTCCTCCTATATCCCCTAATAGTGCTTAGCATTACGTAATCGACCTTTGTAGTCCGTCCCGCTCGAGATCGTACGTCTTACTAGACAGCTCGTATCTATAGTATTAATAAGCTGCTAGGCAGATCGAAGAAACACTACTATAGGAGAGTAGATAGAACGAGCGTATTAATGTCCCGCTAAGCTACCTTAGCTAGAGGTTAGACGTCGTATACCGACCTTGCCGTACTCTATCCTACGATCCCTCTAAGTCTAACTCGTACGGTATATTAGCGTTCTTCTCTCGATTATGCGGCTAATACGCTAGTAGTAACGTTAAGTATCTCGGTTTCCGCTCGGTTAAGATTATACGCGACGCAGTTGTCGTAGAGAGTAAAAGTATTACAGTCGTCCTATACTAGCGCGGCTTTCGAATTTATCGTTTTACGACAATACTAAGATTAGCATCTTATAGCCCGAATCCTCTAAGCACCGTTATAGCGATGCGTAGGAGGAGGATATTAAGTGTTGCTAATATAGATCTAAGCGTCGCCGAGAGGGTAAAACTCCGTAGACATCCTAGTAAAAGCATTCGCGGACTGCGCTTAAGAAAAGAGTAGGATATCCGCGCTCCGAGCGACGAGGCTAAGATATTCTAGACTCCGACGTACGCTAGCAGTATATTATATCTTCTTCTCGTAATCTGTAGCTAAAACTAGTTTCTCCTTTAGCGGTATAGGTAATAGGCCCTTAGGCTGTTACCGACGCGATAGCGCTAAACACATCCGTAATCGCTTGTCGATACGCCTTAAAGACTAGCCGAGCGGGCGTAGAACTGCCGTTATTGCGAGGTATCGATTCGAGATATAGTAATAGACTTACTTAGTATTAGACTTTATAAGAACTTGAAGTATTGCGTTAAGGCGAGATAGGGTTCGAGAACTTTTATTAACTTTTAGCTAATTAGAGCGCCTCGCTTCTGCTTCGAAAACACGGCAAGGACTTGTATATATAGAACAAGTCGTAATGCTGATTAGATACTACTATACTTAGTTACAGGTACGACACTCCGCTAAATACTATATATTCGGCGCTTCCCTTCGACGCGACTATAACTACGAACAAGCCTTAATAAAGCCCGCTATTAGATTTAAGAAATATAAGTTCTAGCTAGGTATAAAGTGGATACTACATCTAGCAGCAGTACTTGCCGCGGTAAACGGTTCTAAAAGCTATTAAAAGTTAAAGAGAAGGCACTATTTTAAGAGGTAAGGTAGTGCCCTATCGCTACGATACGATATATCTAGAAGGCCGAGCGTATCTAGGTTTAAGGCGGTGCTCGAATCTATAGGAACGGATACTAGGATCGCAGGTAGCAATAGTAGCATATATTAAGCGTAAGCGTCCCGATATAATACGTCTCGCTACTACCGACATCGAGCTAGATTAGCTTTATTTAATTAAACCCTCTCCGATAGCTTCTAGCAGCTAGAGCTTAGCTTTTGTCTTAGTGCTAGGCATTGCAGCCTTTTAGACTAACGGCATTAGCGTACCTGTTCCTCCTTACTAATACTACGATCGCTGCTTTTAAGGCTGTCGCGGACTCCGAGCGAACATTAACTTCGACAACTTATAGCAACTTTTAGCAACTTTTAGTAACTTTTAGTATCCCGTATGTCTCGTATTCTACTTGTCGGGGCCGTACTGTTTTCCTTTACGCTTTCTGTAGCTTTAGCTATAACGTGCTTCCGTTCTTCTATTACGTATCTCGCTTTAAACGCGGATAGGCCGCATTCTAACTCTATATTAAGCTTTAGCAACTTCTGTCCTCGTTGTCCTCGAGTATAGGAAGATCCTACTATCTCTAGGTTCTTATACTATCTTTTAGCATCTTTTAGCATCTTTTATTATCTTTCAAAACCTCTATATCCCTAATAATTAGAGTGTTCTATAAACTCGCATTTCGTTTAAGGTTAACTAGTTCGCCTTTAGCCTACCTCTATATCTTCTTATACTAACCTTTAGCAACTTTTAGTAACTCTTAATATCTCTATACGCTCGAGGATCGGAAGGTCCTACGATGTATAGGCCCTAGTATCAACTTTTAGCAACTTTCGGCAACTTTTAGCAACTTTTAGCAACTCTTAATATCTCTAAACGCTTAAGGGCCGGAAGGTCCTACGATCTATAGGCTATAATATTAGCTTTTAGCAACTTTTAGTAACTTTTAGTAACTTTTAGTAACTTTTAGCAACTCTTAGTAGCTCTAACTAATATTAGGCGTATTCTAATATTACTAATACCGATATATCTTATATTGCTTTCGCTACTATCGTTATTCCTATTATTTCTACCTATTTAGCTGCGAAGACTAAATATATAAGAAATCTATATAGCTTGACTTTACTTTGTAATTTAAATTTAAACACTAATATTTACGATACTTAATATCTTCCGCTACAACTATTAATTAGCGTTCTAATTACGGTTAAAATTTCCCTATCGACTTAATAAAGCCTAGCGCTTATATATAGAACAATCCGACTAAGTCGACCTCGCCGTCGCTATTACTACGAGTATGCCTATAAAGTCTTAGTATTACTTCCTACCCTCTACCTATCGAAAATTGCCGCTACCGCTACTAAGACGTCTTAAACTTACTACTACTAGGATCTTATCGTCGCTACGATCCTTAGCGTACCTATTTTGCCGCCTAAATATCTACTACTAATACTAATACTACTATAATCTAGACCGAGACTTCCGTCCCTACTATTACTTTCGCTATCTACTACCCTCGTTAGCGTATATATATATATATACTACCCCTCTATTAGCATCCCTACCGCTACTTACGTCCCTACACTCTCTAAATCCTACTACTTTCCTCCTTCTCGGCGCTGCCCGAGTAGTTATATTTATTCTTAAATTTAGTATACTTAGAACCGCCTAGCGGTTCTAAGTATAAGTTAGTATCTAATCCCCTGCTTTAGCTTAGTTAGAATGATTATAACATTACTGTCTAAGAAAACCACTATGCTGACAATTCAGCTTTTCATCCCTAACCTATCAAATATTCAATCAAATTTCATCAAATCCAAACTGAATTCAGCTAACCAATCAATTCACAGTGATCCAAGTCTCTCTTTTTTGAATTTCCGGAGCTTTGCCAGTTTGGAGCCCGGTGACGCGCTGCTCTCGGGCTGCGACTCCTATCAATTTCCTGACTCACTATACTACGAGCGTGACAATGCTTGTGGTGCAATAACACTTCACGACGGGTGTCCACTTCATTGTTCAAAGCGCACTTTGGCGACTACGTACAAGTCAAACCATTAGCCCCATGCTTCAGCACTGGACACATCTCGCCTATGGCTTCGACTCCTTCCAGCCGCGGTCGGTCGCCATCAGCAGCCGCGAATGTCGTTCTTCCATACCGCATGCACGTCTCGCAGCGATATCTGGACCTCACGAGGCAGAAACTTGACATTACACGGCTACCGAGAGATCCAGAGATGCAACAGTACCAGCAACGATCACAATTCGGGCTCTCGAAAGCAGCATTGGAACCTCTGGTGGACCACTGGACTGAAGATTACAGCTGGCGTGCACAGGACGCCTACTTTGACAATACTCTTCCACAGTTTCGTGTGGTGATACATGGCGCCCGACTTCATTTCATCCATCGACAGTCGCACCGTTGGCGGATGCCATCCCGCTCTTGTTTGTCCACGGCTAGCCCGAGAGCTTTATCGCAGTATCTAATATGATTGACGCGCTGTGCAATCCGGTCTTCACGCCACCAACAGGCGACGATAATGTGCCCGCTTTCCACGTAGTTGTGCCGAGCATTCCGGGCTTTGGCTTCAGCAACCAGGTCAGCGAGGAGAGCAACAACATTTCTACGACAGCGGAGTTGTTCGACAACTTAATGAAGAGTCTTGGCTATTCGCGGTATATCACGACTGGTTCGGGATGGTAAGTCGAGTATGAGGCTAGCCGAAGCACAAGCGCTAATCAGTATCGTAGGGGACTCAACATTTGCCGATTAATGGCACTCACGCATAGTAAAAGCTGCGTCGCACTTCACACGGCGAACCCCGAAGTACCTGATCCACGGTCAGTACACTTTAGGCTTCTTTGAAAAACCCAGTCATTGAACCAGGACAACACGGTCGACCGTCCATTGCAATGGGAAATCAAAGCAACTGACTATGAGACAGAGTTAGCTTCAACTACAGCCCTCAAGGACTCTCGGTCCCAGTGTCACCTATACATGCCTCGCCTACACACTCTCCAGGCATCTCGCCTCCACGAACTCCAGGTGTATATCAGCAGACGTCGCAACGTCCTCAGACAATCGCTTATGCCTTGTGCGATTCTCCGGCAGGCCTGCTCGCATACATCGTCGATGTGATACAACCTTATCGAAACCCATTTATGCGAACAAATGACGATGCTGCGGCTGGTCTTCAGGGGCCTTGGACGCCTACTTCACTAATCAACTGGGCCATGCTGTGAGTATCCAAAACGGATTCAGATTTACTGGTGCATGGGTAGCTAACATGACAGCAGGTATTGGCTTCCTGGTCCCGAAGGTCCCTTGCGATGGCTCACAAATTCTGAGCCCATGGTCTCCCAACTCTGGATGACACACAGTAATACACCTCTCGCAATATCGCAATTCTCCGATCAGAACAGTCCACCGATAGGACCTGTCTGGGCGGAAGCATATCACAGAATTGCCATGATCCGAAGAAGACCAGGGAGTGCTCGATTTCCGGCGTGGGAAAGACCGGAGGAAATGGTGGTTGACATAAGAGACCTAGAAGTCTTGGTCGGACCTAAATTCTTTGGAACATATGATTTATCTCCGTCACCAATTGGACATTGGGGTTCTTAATTGGGATATCCCTCTCAGCAAAGAATGTCTGCTTCATATACATACATGAATGCCAAAAGCACGCGCCCTGACTGAGTCTTATATCTGAGTTGGTTTATGCAATGAGAGGCGCAGATATATAAGGGAAGCTAGCTGCCCTGAAGGCCTTCTTCCTCTTCATCCACCTTCCCTTGGGCTTGGCAGCCTCTTTCAGAGCACCCACCCTCCTCAACCCCTGTTTATAGAAGTAGACAGTGCGCTTAATGAAGCTGCTTTCAGTTATGGGGCTTTGCTGCCTATAACTGGGTCCCCAAACGAGAAGGTGCACACTCTCAGCCATCAGTTGACACGAAGGCAAGCCGAATGTAAACGAGCCAAGTGCATATGGCTTGGCATGCGATGCAGCCCAGCGGCCCCGCCCAAAAATATTGGCACGCAAAATCACTCCCTCATCACTTCTAGCCTTTCTTCCGCCTGAACACCACCAACTAACAACGCTTCCAAGCATCGAGCGGCACAGAAGTGCGATCTTCACAGCGGCCTACAGCTTAGTGTCGCTCCACTGACAAGCACGCGAAAGTTTGCCATCGGAATTGGCAACCCAGCACGAGACCTCGAGACTTCCTACAAACAATCAGACAATCAGGCTCTTTCGCCTGATCACCGCTTCAAGCTGGCGCAGTGAAGAGCCCATTCACTGCCTTGACTTAGGTGCCACACCCCTTCTATGCGTCCAGAAGACCTTCTTCGCTGCCTCTGCAAGCCCAAGAAGTAAGACAGGCATTCTCGCTGTACACTTTTTCACGCGCCCGCTGAAACCTGGCATAGGCCTAGATAACACGACTCACACCCCTAAGACCACTTTTCCAAGACAAACTGAACTGAGACTAAAACACAATCAACTGCCTATCCACTCTCCTCGCCTCCTTCACCCGATACTTCCGCCGGGTATCGGTGACCTCAAGAGCAGCAACAACCCATAGTCGGCACCATTCCGCCCCGCAAGAGCTCTTTTATCCCCCTCTCCGCGAGACCTCCCTAACGTCGGCCACGTCGCTCTACCCTCTAGAACACCGCTTGCTGCTGGCGTAAGCCAGCCTCAATTTCAGAACAGAAGCAGTGCGCCTTCTCTCCTCAGACGAATCTGAGCCCTTCGCCTAGGCAGCAGAAGACGCACACCCTCAACAAAAGAGCAGCGACTCGCCAGGCCTGAAAAGCCTTGCAAGGACACAACACCTCGAAGCCCACAGCGACGGCCAGAACATTGCTTGGAGATGGTCCCTTGTGACATTCCACCAAACTACACAAATTCACCATGTTCTCTAAGTGGAACGCCACATTGGACAATCAACAAAGACATTAGTGCTGTCGATCTTGACTCCAGCAATGCCTTCGAAGGACCAGAAAAGTTGCTTGAGGTATGGTTCACGCCATCCGAGAAGGCGCTGCCTGCGTCCGCTGCGCCAAACGGATTGAAGGCGGTCTCGCAGGATATATGGAAGGACATGCTTGACTTGGTCAACTGCAAGGTTTTGTCAGTTATTGAGTCCAGCAACGTCGATGCTTACTTGCTCTCCGAGTCGAGCATGTTTGTCTTTCCGCACAAACTTGTGCTGAAGACTTGCGGTACTACGACCTTGCTGCGCGGCCTGACTCGTATGCTTGAGATCGCCGCTATCGAGGCTGGATTCCCACATATCAAGGCTAGTCTGCCAGAAGGAACGTCGGCGGCTGCTACTCCATACCGCGTCTTTTACAGTCGCAAGAAATTCAACTTGCCCGATGCTCAAAAGGGAGTCCATCGTAGCTGGCGCGATGAAGTCCGTTACCTCGACAATATGTTTCTGGGAGGAAGTGCGTACATGATTGGAAAGATGAATGGGGAGCACTGGTACCTGTACATTACTGGTCCAGGCACACAGCTCACTCCGCCTGCTACCCCAGAAGAGGAATGCTTCAAGACACCTACCAAGCAGACTGTCTTAGCAGAGGACGGTCATCGTAGACCAGAGCAAGAGACTGGCGATGAGACTTTGGAGATTCTCATGACCGACTTGGAAGAGAAGAATGCTCGGCAATTCTATCTTGAAGATGCGAGCTCAATTGCCCAGGACAACGCTCGCAAAACACACTTAGCTCGCAAGGATGCCATTGCTCATCTGGGTGTCATTCAGGAGGGACATGGCGGCTCGTCCAACCCAAGCATTGATGGCATTACTCTCGTCAATGGCGGCAATGACGACTCTAGCTTTGACGTCTTCGCTCAGACGTCTACTGACCATGCTGAATTGAGTTCTGACGACGATGAGCCTCTGACTTTTGGCGAGGAGCTCAGCACTGAAGGTCATGCTCTAGGCACTGTCGTCACGGAGAACTGTGGCCTAGCCGACGTCTACCCGGTCTCCAAGTACCCAGATGCCAGCATCGACTCCTACCTATTCACTCCTTGTGGATACTCTGCCAACGGTGTCGTGCCAATGCCCGGTGATGCGGATAGTACCCATTACTGGACTGTTCACGTCACACCGGAGCCACAATGCTCATACGCGAGCTTTGAGACCAACGTTCCAACTCGTCACACCGGTCGCGATACTGTCGATGTGGTCCAGCAAGTCGTGGGCATTTTCAAGCCTGGACGCTTCAGCGTAACGCTGTTCGAAGCTAAGGAGAGTGGAGACGATGCCTGTGCTAAGAAAGACAGGAGGATGGACCACGTCAAGGGATATCGTCGCGTCGACCGCATCGTGCACGACCTTGAAGGTTACGAACTCGTCTTTAGGTACTTTGAGAGGCATGACTGGAAGTCTGGCAGTGTGGCGCCACGACTTGGTGAGAGATCTCCATCTCCGTGAGCGTGGTGCGTGGGCAGGGCAAGGGACGTGGGGCTTTAGGGGAGACTGTAACAAGGGCGTTTTCTACGACTCATTCTTTTGCCAATAGCGTAATTAGTCTTCGAGAGCGTATTTGTTTGGGTGGCGTGCTTCCTGTTATTATTCGATCGGAGCGTGCGTTGCAGATAAGTTATCTACGGAGTTCAGCGTCTTTCAAACAGTCTCTGCGGTTCTCTCTCAAATCTACGGAAACATGCTCACGAGTGGTGACGGATATCGTTAGTGAGCTTGCATGTGACGATTCAGCCTCGTCGGTGTCTGCATGTAGCAATCATTGTAATTGTGCTGAGTCACGCTTCAGCATTTTCTTTGTGCTAAAAAAACTACTCGGTCGTGCTTGATATTATTGTCGCTATGCCCTACCCACAAACAAGAATAATAGCGGACATATGCCTGTACTAGAACTGGAAAGAGTAGCGGAGCGGGAAATCGCAGTCGGCGAGGAGAAGGACGATTCGACACGCCAAGAAGCGACGATCCCTGCATCTGCATCTGCATCTGCAGATCAAAGCGCGACTTCACTGCTACAACGCGAGAGACGGAGATCGTCAGTCACAAAGCCTCCCAAGAAAGGCAAGGCGAAGAAAAAGCAAAAGCAGAAGCAGCGTGCGGAGGAGAACCTGCTAGAGGCGGCAGCAGAGACGTCCGCGCCTCCCACGATATCTCGACCACCACCGATGACCTCTGTTCTGGCGCGTCCTCTTCCACTGCTCATCTGCAGCGTCGGGAACCCAGGCGCACAATATGCCAACACATTGCACTCCGCAGGACATACGGTAGTCAATCAACTGGCGGCACATCTCGGAGGATATCCACAATTCTCTAAAGACAAATCCTTGGGAAATGGTCTTGTCAGCAAAGGACCAGAGGATTGGACATTATGGCAAAGTACTTCTTACATGAATGAGAGTGGAAAAGGTGTAAGAGCTGCGTGGATGAATTGGACGAAATCACTCTCACTGGCGGATGGAGAAGGGAGGTTAGTTATTGTGCATGATGAGTTGGAAAAGCCGCTGGGGGCTGTGTCTTTGAGAACGCAGCAGGGGTTGAGTGCCAAAGGGCATAATGGGATCAAGAGTGTTTTGGCGCATTTGGGCAAGTTGCCGTTTGCGAGGATTGGCGTTGGGATTGGGAGACCGACGAGTAGGCAGAGTGATGATGTTGCGAGGTTTGTGCTTAGGAAGATGGATCCGAGGGAAAAAGAGGCTGTGGAGGGGTGTGTGGAGGAGGTTGTGAAGAAGTTGAAGTTATTGGAGTTGGGGAAGGGGTGAACGCATTTCACGACCAATTTGCCATGCTGGTAAGCAGATGCTGCTGAAGCAATGCTCAAAATCAGTGGTGTGAGAAGCATGAAGCCGCCGGCCCAAGGAGAAATCGCTGTTCGGCATTTTCTGTGCACAATCAAAAGGCACCGAGTCGAGGGCGCCGCATTCTCCCAAAAAGGAGCGCAACCAGGGACCTGAAACGGGTCTTGGGCATGAACCGGCACCAGTGTACCTCCGATTGAGATCCGTCTCTCGAACAACTTGCATCTCTTCAGGGAGGGTACTGCACCCTGGTGGGTCAGATCTACCAATCTTCAACCGTAAAGCTTCTGCCGGTCCTTGCTGGTGGCGTTGGAGATCCTGCAAATACCACTTCAGACACCTTCGGAGCGAATCTGCCGTCGATAAAAGAAGTTACATTTGCGTTGATTGCCCTTCGCACCGTAAATAAGTGGCCGCGAATCGTAGTCGGGTATCAACAGCTTTTCCGGTCCGAGTATTGGGAATTTCGGCCCGCCCTCTACCACAAAAATCCCCAAATTCGACCACTAGCACTGGACCAAACAAGAGTAGTTGCGGCACTGTCGGGCTTCCATTTTCAACTCGAAACCGACCGGAACAGCCACGCAATACATATCTCAACTTGCTTGAAGACTCGTTCAGCGCTAAGCTGACTAGATTGGATACCAATGGTAGACTATGCTAACTCTATTTACTCTGGAGACAGAGTTCTCGTAGCACCATTGCAAGGAACCGCAAGAACTCTACTGACCTGAAACCAGAAGACACCATACCAGACAATATGCTCTATGGATTTGAGCGAAGGCGTAAAAGGCGATGAATTGAATGGATACAAGCCAACGGGAGCTAGAGAACAGAACGCTCAGCGAAGGTCTCGCAATTGTGGTTCATACGGCCAAATGTCAGCAAGCAGAGATGGGTAAAGGCATGGAAGAAGGGTCTGCAACGACACGTTGCCTCCATGTTTACGCTGGCCTGAGGCTCAAGACCAATTCTGAGGTTCCAAGCATCTCTCGATCGAGATCCTCCAGCGAGAAAATTGTGGGAAGCTTCACTCAGCACTCAGGTAAAGGAAAGTAATGTCAGAATGGTTCAAGGGTACACACCGGACTGCCAGCAGGACAGTTTGATGGCGCTCAACATGCCATTTTGGCATGGATTGGCTCGGCATCGGTCGGCATCCCAAGTATGCATAACCTTCCCCTTGGACCGATCTTTGTTTTGGCAGAGACCGAGGAACATTGTCGACTTTCACGGCACCGAATGCCTACAAAGACAAATCGACAGTCGATTGGGCAGACAGTTGACCTCAGACTACGGCGCACGGCAACATTCGGCTTACCGTTCGGAAACAATGGAGCCAATGCCACAGTATTGGGCAGTGAGTATGCCGGCGGACTCGGAAGTTGGGCGTGAGCGTTTACGAAACGGATGTTGGCGGCAGAGCAATGCTAATGAAAAGGGATAAGAGATCGTGAAAACACCCATCTCAGTCTGCTTTCTTCAAGACTCGTAACTCCTTCCTGTTGTGCAGCAACAGTAGTGAGCTTTGATTCAGCAGTGAGCACTCGTCCACAACCATGCATTGGAAGACTTCCGCAGCGCTCACTGCGCTAGCGGTGTCTGTCAATGCAGCACCAGCAGAAAAGCAGGAACAGAAACGACAGGTAAGCCTTCCTGGCTACACATCTCATTCACATATCACTAACACGTGATCGATTTCTAGTTCGGCCTTGGGGGTCTCGCCTTGCCGACAGTTCAGACCACTGGCCTGTTCGGCGTTCCGGTGCTCGGCTTCGGCGGAGCGTCCACAGTTGTTCAGCAGGGCAGCGCTCATGTTGTTACAGCTGTAGCGTCCGCAGGTCAAGGCACGCCACACGTCTTGACTGCGGTCAACCAAGGCGTCAACGCGGTCTCAAATGTCGCTGGACCGGCTCCTGTGGTGACGGCAGTTACTACCATCGTCACTCATCCTTCTGTCGCCAACCCAATCCTGAGTGTCGCTACTCAGGTGACTCATGTCAACACACCGCTCTCGAATGTTGGAGTTCCGAGTGTCACTCAGATCACCACCATTGCACCCATTCAGTCTGCAGCAACTACCACTATCTCGGCGGTGTCGAATCCAGCTCCTGTTATCCCAGCTGTCACTACCTTGCCGATTCTTACAAACGTCCTGCCTGGCACTACCAATATTCCGACGTTGTCGAGTCTTGCACCGGTTTTACCAGCTTCACAAGCTCCGGTGAATCCTCTTTCGGCTGGCCTTCCTAATGTCATCTCGAACGGGAATATTGCGAGTCTGTTGCAGCCAAGCAGTCTTCTCTCAAATCCTCTGGTCTCTGTCGTCCATGCTGGAGTAGCTCCAACAAATCTTGCCAATCCTCTCACTCAGGCTCTGGTCTCGGCTATCACTACATTAATCCCAGCACCTGCAGTTCCTACGATTCTTGCCAATCCGCTCAGTCAACCTCTGATTACTGCTATCACTACGCTGATTCCAGCACCTGCAGTTCCTACGAATCTCGCCAATCCTCTCGATCAACCTCTGGTCTCGGCTATCACTACATTGATTCCAGCACCTGCAATTCCCACGAACTTGGCCAATCCGCTTGATAATCCATTGGTTACTGCCATCACTACGCTGGTTCCAGCACCTGCAGTTCCCGCGAATCTCGCTAATCCTCTTAATCAACCTCTGGCTGCCGTCACTACATTGATCCCAGCACCTGGGGTTCTTACTGGCGAGCTTCCTGTCAACCCAGGAGGAGTCGTCTCAAACGTTCCTGTAATGAACATACCGAGCCTTCCAACTGGCGCAATTGGTGGAATCATTCCATCAGGCGTTTTAAACGCTGGCAGCATCGTCCCAATAGGCATTCCAGCCGACCCAACGGCAGTTTCCAACCCCAGCAGTCTTATCAGCCAGCTGTCAGGCGCTGTCGTACCAAGCGGGCTCGAAGTCATCCCAGTTGCAATCCCATCTGGTGTCCCAAACGCAGGAAGCATTGTTCCTGTCGCAATTCCAACCAACCCGTCCATCGTCAGCCAGATACCAGCGCTCATCCCTGTCGCAATACCATCTGGCTTGCCTGGCGCTGGCAGTGTAGTGCCAATCGTCCCACTCGGTACTCCTGCTGTCACAAATGGCGTTGTCAACCTGATCCCGACAGCTGCCATTCCTTCTGGCGTCCTTCCAACGAGTGCTGCGCCAAACCTTCCAATCATCGCTCCCAATGTTCCAGAGGTGCTTAGCGGCCTCTCGACAGCTGTCATTCCAACGAACGGTGCTATTGGAAACCCCGCAAGCTTGGTTCAAACGAGCGCTCTTCCTACAAACGCTATCCCGACATCAACCATGCTTATCCCGACCAGCCTGCTTCCCGCCAACGCCATTCCTCCAAGCAGCTTGAATCCGGTCGGCGTCCCATCTGGGCTTGTTCCAGTCAATCTCATCCCGAGCGGAGCCATTCCGAGCACTCTCGTGCCCAGCACTGTCGTCAATGTCATCCCAGCTCCAACAGCATCTAACCCGATTGCTGTTGTGCCGACAAGCGCGCTTCCACCGAACGCCATCCCCGCGAACAGCTTGGTCCCAGCTGGCCTACCATCAGGAATCGTGCCCGCCAGCCTTGTTCCAAGCTCATTGCTACCGATCAATGTCGTACCGACGAACGCTATTCCTAATTCAGCGCTATCTGGACTCAGTCCTATTGCCGTTGTGCCAAGTAGCGTACTACCTAGCAATGCGATACCTCCGAGCAGCCTGATTCCCGCCGGCCTGCCATCTGGAGTTGTTCCGATGAGCCTGATCCCTAGCGCACTAGTACCAAGCAACGTCGCGCCTACGAGCATCATTCCAACTAGTGTTGCTGTTGTACCAACGAGCGCCCTACCCAGCGATGCGGTCCCTCCGATCAGCTTGATTCCTGCCGGTCTTCCGTCTGGACTGGTCCCTGCGAGCCTGATATCGATCCCACTACCAAATAACGTTGTGCCCACGAATGTCGTGCCAGTTAGCACTATCGCAAATGTGATGCCGATCAACGCTGCGCCGATGAATGTCGTGCCTCCAACCATCGCAGCGCCGACGGACGTGCCCACAAGCGATATTGCTGCTATCATTCCAACGAGCGTACTCCCAAGCAATGCCGTCCCAACCAACGTTATTCCAGGCCTACCTTCTGGCTTCGTACCTGCAAGCTTCGTGCCAAGCAATGTACTGTCGTCCGCTGCGCCTGCCGCTCTCATTCCCACAAGCGCAGTCCCAGGCCTCGCAGCCCCAACTCCACTTCCAGGCGTACCTTCAGGCTTCATTCCAGCCAGTCTTCTTCCTAGCAGTCTGCTCCCATCAGCTGTGCCAACGAACGCAGCTCCCACGAACCTGAATCCTGCGGCGTTCATTCCTACCAGTGCTTTGCCAAGCAACGCTGTGCCCTTAAATCTCATTCCAAGTGGAGTGCCATCGGGATTTGTACCTGTGAGCGTCCTGCCATTGGTGTCCAGCTTGTCAGCGGCCTCGAACACCATACCATCAGGTGTGTCGTCTGGTCTGCTTACGATTGACATTCCGCCGTCAGCTTCAAACGTCTTGCCGACTGCTTCGAACGTCGCGCCTGCAGCCTCGAACGTGCTGCCAACTGGATCGACAGCCGTTGCAGCTCCAGGCGCAACAGCTTCGGGCACTTGCGAGAATGCCATTGGAGGCAGCGGTCCAGCTCAATACCGTGATTCCAATCTGCAGACTTACACTGTAAACTGCAAGCATGACCTTCCTGGTAATGACATTGGCCACATGGCTTCTCCGTCCTTCCAAGAATGCTTTCCTCACTGCGATGCAATGCCTGACTGTGTTGCCTTCTCTTGGCTCCGTGACTATGGCCCAGGCACCTGCTACTTCAAGGGTGCTGGCGCTCAGCAATCATCCTTTGTTCCGTCCATTGCCGATGTCGCCATCAAGTCTGCTCCAGCTGTCAGTGCTACCATTGGCAATATGACTATCTCCACCAATGCTCCACCTGTCCAGATCTCATCCACTCCATCCACAGGTCGCTCTTGCCAGCAGCTTGGTAATGGCGCTCAGGTTGGTACGTACATCATCAACTGTGGCATCGACTACTATTCTGGAGATCTTTCCAACGCACCGGGGTCATCCTTCTCCGACTGTATCGTCAAATGTGATGCTATTCAGAAATGTGTTGGCTTTTCTTTCGTTGGCGGATCTGGATCTGGCCAATGCTACTTTAAGCAGGTCATCAACTCTCCTGTCACCAATTCGAAAGTGGACTCTGCGTACAAGTCGATCGGAGGCAATGTTCAATTACCTAGCGCTGCTCCTGTGATCTCCTTGACTTCTGCTGTGCCAAATGGATTTCCAAATGGCCTACCAAACTTAACCCCATCTTCTGGATTGGCCACATCGATCTTGACCTTCACCTCGGTTGCAGGTGGCATTCCCAACGCCGCGCCAACTTCCGCGCTCGTCTTCACTCAAGTCAACAGCGGAGCGCCGACAGGCCTGCCAATAACTCAAGCAAACACGCTGACTATTCCAGCATCCGGTGTATCGATGACGGCGGTCAGCAGTGGCGCGTCAGTCCTATCAGTCCTCTCTACAGCTGTCATCCCAGTCGGAGTTCCAGCTTCCCAGCCTGCTGCATCATCAGCGATCCCAGCCGTTGTCATCGGGCCCGCGCCAAGTGGGCTACCAAACCCATTGACCGCTGTGCCAACTTCGGTTACCAATCCAGCAGCTAGCGGCTTGCCAAATGGGTTGCACAACAACATCCTTCCAGGTGGCTTGTCAGATATCGTGAGTGGAATGCCAGCTCCTGTTCAAACAGCACCAGTGAACCCTGCTGGTAGCGGAATCCCTATTGTTCTTCCAGGCGGCGTCCCAAGCGGTCTTCCAAATGGTATCCCAAGCGGCTTGCCAATTACCAACGCCGCCGTTCCTATATCTGCTCAAACATTGACTGTCAACCCTGCCGGTACTGCACCAAGCACGTTCTCGATTGTGCCGACAGGCCCAATCACGAGCCGTCCAGTGCCAGCTGCAACTATATTAGCTCCTGTTGTCACCCTGCCTGGTCCAGGCACCAAGTAAGTCTAGACTCACCCGCATACTCTCAAAGTGTTGACACTGACTAGCTGCAGCAATGCGGCAACCATCACTATATTCAGCACAATCACAGTATACAGCAGCGGCGGACCTGTTGCCACCACCACAACGCCGGTATCAACTTTCCTTTCAGCTGCTCGACCAACAGGCCATGTCGTGGATCCCGTCTATCCCGTCGGACCGCAAAATCAGGATTGCGCAGAAATGAGACGCCGTCACAATCGTCGTCATCACTACAGAATCATCATCGAATCTGAAGATAACAACGACATCGATGGCATGTACCTGCGACACTCAGTCTTCGATTCAAATGGCGTCGGTCTCGCCCACTTGACTCCAAACTCCAACGAAGCCTCTTTCTTCCTCCGCAACCCGAACAACAGGGCATTGTCTCTAGTGGGACCTACACTCAACACATGCGACTACATGTATGGCTTCTCCATTGTCGAGAACAACGACGACACTCCAGTAAACCCGGTTGCTTTCGTTCCAAACATGGCGTCTGGCAACATGGTCGATGACGGCAACTCCATTCGATGCCAGAACTCGCAGTACTCTACCTTCTACGCTTGTTCGCAACAGAATGGCGCTGTGCAACTTTATACCCTGGATCATGGTGCATCTACCGTCAGCAGCGATAAATGCTCCATCGTTGAGCTCAAGGTCACGCGCTAGACAACGCACACAGTCACGAATATCGACAGATGAGTATATGATCGCATCTCATACCGGGTGCGACGCGTTATTACGGAGCTTTTTCTCTATACACACGAAAAGCCGTCTGCTGCGTTAAGGCGAAAGCACTATACCCGATTGTCAACAGCGAGCACACACACCAAATGGGCGTTCATTCGACAGCATTCCTGAGGGGTTCTCGAAGCGATCGCATGTCACATGAGTGATAAGTATTTATCAGAATGGAAATTTTATCAGAATGGAAAAACTAGAATGAGAGGTTTTTGTGGGTTAGATTTAGATACTGCTCATAATAGGGAGATTTGGCTTCTGATGTTGATCATTTATCGTTTTCAAATTTCACCATCTCTCTAAGGAAGACCCTGTCTAATGGTAGAACGAGAAGCGTAGCAAAAAGTCCAAAAATATTCGGAAGAGCGTATGAGAACGGCGATTCCCGCGTCCCGTGGACTCAGAGCTACTTCGACTTGCCATTCAATTGCGGTAAAGCCTCGTAGAGCGAACTATGTGGCTCGCAGCGGGACATTCGTATTGTCTGCATTGCGTCCACCAACACGCCTCCCATGCGCTCTGGTATCGATCCCCGCCCACGGGAAATCCCAAGTCAAGTCTTTAATGTAGTCTAAATGGCATCTTTTGTGTGGTCGGTCTCAGCATGCACCGGCCGAGGCTAGATCAAGAGCCACCACGGCCACAGCCTCATACACCAGGCTCTGTATCGAGCATATACTTCTACCCCGCGCACGCTGAGGCGTGAATCGTCGGCCTTCTTGCCATCATCAACTTGACGCTCTGGTCACACCATAAATTTGTCTGGCCTCCAGAAGGGCGCCACGATTCTGACACCGCGCGACATCGTACTGAACTGAAATCACAGATTCTCCTCAAGTCTTAGAGCTCGATTCTCCCATTTCGATATCTTCGCCTGTACCAGCCTGCACGCTGCCGCTTGCTTCACCCTCTTGCACGTCCGCCACATCTTCTTCAGAAGGCTGTCCTTCCGTGCCACCTTGTTCCACCTCTTTCCCGCCTGCCACCAACAAGTACTGCACAACTTCGCTCTTATCCGCTCGCTCAGCCTCAAACATGGCCAAGTGCCCAGCCTTATTCTTCGCCCACATATCCGCTCCGTTCTCCACGAGAAGCTTCACAATTGCAAGATGTCCATTATAGGCTGCCCAGTGCAGTGGTGTGTTGCCTTCGTTGTTGCCATGGTTCACCAAGGATGGGACATTTTGCGACAAGAAGGACCGGAGAAGTTCGGTGAAGCCGTTTGCGGAGCAGAAGTGGAGGACTGTGTTGCCGCTTTCTGGGTCTATGGCTGCTGATAGGACGTCTTTGGCTTCGCATTGATATTTTTGGATCAGTTCTGTGATGGTTTGTTGCAGGTCTTGGACTTCGTTGACGCGGGTGAAGTACAGGAGGTCGTCGATCTCGTCGAAAGTGAGCTGAGGGGTGGCGGTGATATGCATATTGAATTAGTGCTGAAGTGCGTGGACCTAGTGTGCCTTCTTTACGAGTCGTCCTTAGACGTCAGTGTCTCACAAAATTCTAGCACGTGAAGCGCACAGACCCCGGTCGATAAGATAAAGATAAGGTTTGCGTTCCTGCATCTCCTAACTCTTGGCATGGTACGATGTTTCCTGGACCAGGAATCAAAGCGGGTCCTTTGAACGTCCAGGCACCATTGATCAAGAGGATGCGCGGTCCTGGTGTCTACTCTACAACACCAATATAACACATCAACACAATGGCCGTCAAGAATCGCGAGCGTGCTGTCTCGGACCCTAAGCAGGCCAATGGCAACAGCACGATCCCTAAAACCGATCTGAGGCGGTGGCGATTGAAGGATGACCGAGGACGACAAACATGGCACTACCTGCGTACAGATGAAGAGCTTCAAAAATGGCCCCAGACCACAGCAGATAAATATCATTTAGGGCTTGATACGGTGAGTCTGCCGTCTCTACCGAAAGTCCAGCTCTCTAATCAAGCTTCTCCAGGCATTACCTGATCTGCCAAAAGCGAAGACTCCTATACAAGCAGCAGAGAACGGCCTCAAATTTTTCACAAATTTACAATTAGAGCCTGGAAATTGGGGCTGTGAATACGGAGGACCTATGTTCTTGCTCCCAGGCGTTGTCATCACCCTCTACGTCACAAACAACCCCCTGTCGCAACCTGAGCAGCTCGAGATCATTCGATATGTATTCAACATGCAGAATGTTGGAGATAAGAATGGTGGCGATGGTGGTTGGGGACTGCATGTTGAAGGAGATTCATCGGTCTTCGGTACAGCCATGAACTACACTACTTTGCGATTGCTTGGCGTTCCAGCAGACCATCCACGAATGCGTAAGGCACGGCAATGCCTACATGGACTGGGCGGCGCAGTCAATGGTCCTCACTGGGCGAAGTTCTGGCTGTCTGTGCTTGGAGTCATGGAGTGGCCCATTGTCAACCCTGTTCCTCCAGAGCTGTGGCTACTACCAGATTGGTTCCCGATATCTCCTTGGCGCTGGTGGATCCATATGAGAATGGTGTTCTTGCCGATGAGCTTCGTCTGGTCGAAACAGTGGATATATCCGAAAGCAGATTCCGATCCACTGATTCGAGAGCTACGACAGGAATTATTCACAGCACCTCATGAGGAAATTGCTTGGGCGCGATACAGAAATGCTATAAGCCCTGCGGATAATTATCATCCCAAGACGTGGATACTCAACCTTGTCAATTGGTTCCTGGTTCTCATCTGGATTCCTTATATTCGTTGGCCTGGCTTGATCCATAAAGCAGAACGCTGGACGTGGAATTTGATACGCATGGAAGATGAGAATGCGGACTACGCAGATCTGGCTCCTGTGAATTGCCCAATGAACATGTTGTGCTGCTACATCGAGGAAGGTCCGGATGCGAAGTCTGTTCGAGGGCATAGAGATCGTCTCTCGGATTACCTTTGGGTCTCTCAAGATGGCATGATGTGCAATGGCACAAATGGCGTCCAGAACTGGGATACGGCATTCGCGATCCAGGCGACCATCGAGGCAGGACTTGCGCTGGAGCCGCAGCATTATGAAATGCTGCTAAAAGGGCTAGAGTTCCTGGAAGACCAGCAGTTCATGGAGCATGTGGTTGGGTATGAAGAATCTTCAGCTTACTCAGATCCACCGACAGCAAAGACTTCGCCCGATGCTTGCTATCGACACCCTCGAAAGGGCGCATGGGGCTTCAGTAACCGCACCCAAGGATATACAGTGTCTGACTGCACGGCTGAGGCTATCAAGGCCATATTACTCCTTCAGAACATTCCAGATCCCAAAGATCAAACCAGGAAGCTGTTTCCAGTGCTCATGGCCGATGAGCGAATCAAATGGGCAATCGACATCATCTTGACCATGCAGAACACAGATGGCTCCTGCAGCTCGTATGAACCACAGCGAGGAAGCGAGTTGCTCGAAATGCTGAACGCCGCCGAGGTCTTCGGCCGCATCATGGTTGAATATGGCTATCCTGAGTGTACTACTGCATGTGTCACTGCGCTCGAGATTTTCCGCAAGCAGTATCCAAACTATCGCAAGCGCGACATCGAGCGCTTCGTCTCCCGCGCTGTGGAATGGATTCGAGGCAACCAGCGACCGGATGGATCTTGGTACGGAAGCTGGGGCATCTGTTTCACCTACGCGGGTATGTTCGCTCTGGAAAGTCTGAAGCTCCAAGGTGAGACATACGAGAACAGTGAGAGGGTCAGGCGAGCGTGTCAATTCTTCCTCAAACACCAAGAAGAAGATGGTGGCTGGGGCGAATCGTACAAAGCTTGTGAGACTGGTACCTGGTGCCCGCATCCAGATGGCTCGCAGGTTGTGCAGACAGCTTGGGTAAGTGACGGCATATTGTGCGTTGCCACCGTGGTGTGCCAGCTGACGTTGACAGGCAATAATTGCATTGCTCGAGGCTGGATTCCCAGACAGGGCGCCCATCGAGAAGGCGATACGGCTCCTTATGCGTAGGCAGCAACCAAACGGCGAATGGTTGCAGGAAGGAATCGAAGGCGTGTTCAACAAGAGTTGGTGAGACTTCCTGCCCAAGACTGCTGCTTTTCTCGCCACGCTGACGCACTGCTTCACAGCATGATCTCATATCCCAACTACAAGTTTATTTTTCCCATTAAGGCATTGGGCATGTACAGCAGACGTTTCGGCGATACAACCATGAACGGAACGACCTGAGCCACGGTATCGGGTTGGTGGTAACGGACCAAAGAAGTAATTGTCATTGTTTTGGGCGCGCTGTTCCAATAGATCGCAAACGAACACAAGAGCACATCCAGGCGAGCACTGCCTGATTTCTGCGCAGGTACGTTGGCGCCGTGATCAGCTGTACTGCTGCAGCTCAGCCTGCAGCCGACGTGGCCGTCATGCGCCGACCAACATGCTTCTAAATGAGCCGTCGGCTGCTTTGGTCGGCGTGCAGGCTCCGGTCATGCTGTACAACGATTCGGCTCAGACACGTGGAACCGAAGCCTCCGGGCTCGTGGGGGCGTTCACATGGGAGATGCGTGTATGTACATACTGTATCGCTTTCGCGGTTGCTGTGTGACAAACGCGCGGTCCTTATCATGTGTCGAATTTACACGCGAGCGGCAAGCTGCATTTATCGCTGACCATGGCCGTGAGTCGGGAAGGATGAGAAGGCTTCAGGTCGCATATGTATGGGCGGCTTGAGTGACAAAGTGTTCGGAACAGCGCTGCCGCCAACGGTCGAACGACGGGGCCAGCGCGCGATCCTCTCATGAAGCATAGTCCCACATGTAATAAAGTAGCTTGAAACCTGCTCGGCGAGTCGCCGGGGCGCTTGACAAGCGGCCGAGTGCGGTGGAGCAGGAATTGATTGATGAGCTGTTAACATTGCATCGACGGGCTCTGCGCGCGTGTCACCACAGTCGAAGATGTGCAGCGAAGAAGCCTCGCCGTCCCACCACATGGCGTCTGAAGGCGAGCATTGTCGCCGTGCCTCTGACATCTGCCGAGATGGAGAATGCGTCTCATGCGCGTGCCGATTCTTGTACAGTACGTGATGGTGACGACCCCTGAGCCTGAGGGACTAGAACATCCCGGCTTAGCCTACCTAGGAAACAACGGTGGTGGGTGGGCGACAACTGGAACTATGTTTCGTCTTCGGACCTCTCAGTAATTTGAGGAGCAGTCCTTCTCCATTCTTTCAGCCGCCGCCTACGCGAGCAAGACGCCTGCATTACTGTATCGATTGAGAGCCGGCGCAGTCGCATCGGTCCTCGCGCTCGCTGTGCTGTCGCCTGATCTCCCGTCATTGAGCTCATCAATTCGTTTTTCACGCGTGCAGAAGCGCAGTGTGCGCTGGAGCGAGACAAGCAGCAGCAGCAGCAGCTCAGACTCAGAGTTCAGCCCAGAGCTTCCCCGAGCCAACCACACGCGCAGCTTACTTCATCGACACCTGGTCATCCTCCTCCTCCGCCGACTTCTCATTATCCACTCCTCACGTCCTCTTGCACGCGGCGTTCGGCGTTCTTGGGGAGAGTCTACGGCATCGGGAGCTGCATCCCGGGAAATTGTTAGAGAACAGTGCAGCCAAGAGCGGAGATTCGAGCAGAGCAGAGAAGCGGAGATTCGAGCAGCAGGAGACAGCTCCATCCATCATCAGAAACATGGCCACGCCGACGCAAGCACAGCCATACGGCGGGAACCCGTATCCCACACCCGCATCAAACACCAGTGCTGGCCCGCCCGCACCGCAGAGCGCCTATCCGACGGATCGAGCGCCCCAGTCTGCTCCGCCGCCATACCAGCAGCAGCAACAGTCCCAGCCTTCGCCGCCGCAATTCGAAAAATACTGCATCATCCACATTGCTACCACGTGTGACGAGCATGGCGTCTATGTTACTAAAGACAGCGCCGAGGTTATCGAAATTGGCTGGGTGGTGGTCGATGCGCAAAACCCCGAGCGAGAGGTACGTATGGAGTCTCGGCTGCGGTTAGGAACAATCGCAGCATCAAGCAGGCGTCCTGTGGAACGGAACGCTGCCAAAAAACCCCCCAAACCACGAACTCATGCTCGGACCAGCTGCTAATGTAATACCTTTCACAGTTGCACCGCCAGTCCGTGCTTGTCCGTCCTGTCAACACCCCTATCACGCCGCTGTGCACATCTCTGACCACTTTGACCTGGGAGCATGTGAAGAACGCTGGTTCCTTCCGCGACGCCATCTCTGCTTTCGACCAGTACGCTCAGGAGAATCTTATCAATAAGGACGCCGGCCCAGGAGCACCACCGACCTTTGCTTTCTTGACACTCACTCCGTGGGATCTACGAGTACAACTGCCGCGTGAAGCTCGCGACAAGAACGTCGTCCTGCCAGCTTACCTACAACATCCCATTCTTTTCGGACTACGCGGCGAGTACCAGACATTTCAGGCACACCATCCCGAAACCCTGGCCTTCAGCTCGTCAAGCCTGTCGTCAATCTGTGCAGGACTGGAAGTAGAAGAGGTGCGCTCTTCTGGCAAGGTCACTGGCGGACTCCCATTCCACCTGCAAGCACTCGCTCCATCGTCCCCTCGTCGCGCCTTGGAGGAGGCATTGACTCTGACTCGCTGCTTGAACTCACTCCTGAAGAAGTCACGACCCTCAGCCTCTAATCCTCAGGGTACTCCAGACATCCTGACCCGTCCACTTGACGCACGCAGTGACGTCCGGGCCTTCCTCGGCGAAAGGAGTAAAGTTCTCCATCTCAGCGGCCTGCCGCACGATACAACGCAGAGCGAGCTGGAGAGTTGGTTTACGCAGTACGGTGGTCGACCTATCGCCTTCTGGACGCTGAGAACGCCTGAAGGAGGAAAGCCGAGCGGCAGTGGCTTCGTCGTGTTCGGCAGCCACGAAGAGGTACGTAAGAAAATTCACATTTGTCCATTGCCTGTAAAGATCGAAGTGAGAGCTTGCCATCTCAGTTCGTGTTCCCCGTCTGTGTGATTGTCGACCCCGACATCAACTCCTGGTGTTTGACGTCAGGCTTTTCACGCTACGAAGCGGAACACATCCACCTCAATTTAATTTGCTGCGTGCAATCTCCTCAGCAACAAGCATCCCTAACCCATCGACGTCATCAAAACCACGTTCGCAGCATCAATCCCTAACATTCGAGATCGACCGTGCTGTCACCCCTCGACTATGGACGTGGCCTTGAGTGGTGCGGTGCATTATTTGCCATGCGTCACTGGCGAGGCTCCACCCTGTCGCGTGAAATGCATCTGTCGAAATGTTCGATATCTGCCGAACTACACTGACAAAGCGACCTTACAGGCTGCAGAATCACTCAGCATGAATGGACGCGCACTCAATGATCGCGCCATCGAAGTAGCGCCCTCTTCCAGCAGGGTGTTGGACCGCGCTGCACACTCGCAGCCACCAGGCGGACCACCTCTTCTCACTCCTTTCCCTCCATCGAAAAATCGCCCGCGTCCTGGAGACTGGACTTGCCCAAGCTGCGGCTTCTCAAACTTCCAACGACGCACAGCATGCTTCCGTTGCTCGTTCCCCGCCATGGGCGCATCCCAGCCTGATCCCTATAGCCAGCCCTATGGAATGCAACCAGGTCCATATGGCGCTGGTGGCTTTGGCGGACACCCAGGAATGATGGGCGGTCACATGCATGGTGGCGGATTTGGCGGCGGGATGGGTGGATCTAGTGGAGGCCGTGGTGGAATCGTACCCTTCCGTGCTGGAGATTGGAAGTGCGGTAACGAAGGCTGTGGCTACCATAACTTTGCTAAGAACGTGTCGTGTTTGCGATGCGGTGCTTCGCGCAACAACGCAGCTGTTGTCGCTGAGAGCGGTATGACAAGCTTCCCTGGCGGCGCATCGTATGGAGGGCCGCCTCCCAACATGCCTCCTATGCAGTCGATGGACTCTGGCGCGTATGGCGGAATGCAGGCAGCAGCTGCAGGATACGGTGGCAGTGGCATGGCAGGTCCACCTGGCGGCTTCAGCGGACAATCATTCGGTCCTCCCTCATCATACGCGCTTCCATCTGGAATTGCTGCTCCGAGCCCGTACATGTCTGGCGGCTACTCACAAATGGCAAGCAATGGCGGCGTTCAGTCTCAGGGTGGCTTCGACAGCAGAGCCGAACAAGCATTCAACCACGGCAACACTGGAGGACAGACTGGACCAGGAGCGTATGCTAACGGAGCGTACGGCAACACGGGTGCTTATGGCAACGACGGATCGGCAGACCCATTCTCATTCCTCTCTTCAGGAATGGGTCAGTTGGGAATCAATGACGGCGACAACCGTCGCAACGGTCAAGGTGGCGCTAAGTCACCGCAATAATCTTCCTCCGGTAGGTCATGTTAACAGCACATGAGGCGAGGCGAGGCCAAGGTGGCGACAGTGGGGCGGTTGGAGAAAGCAGATTGTATCAAAGACACTCGGACAACATATGGGAATCGAATTCGGCTGCAAAGGGCTCAAAGGTTAGCGTCGGCGTCGGAGAGGTGGGTGATGGTATTAGCGAGGGCGCTGGACATCGGCACAGGATCATCCTCATCACACAAAACACATCAAGCAAGTATGGCTGCATGGGAGCGAGAAGCACGCACAAACACAACACACTTTTTAACAAGCATACGGGACGGATGGTTGATGGGTTCCCTCGGCGGTGCGGGAACAGGGTGGAGTTTCTTGCTTCATTCTCTGCTGGACAGACAGATTTGCTTGTGGTTTCGAGTGTGCTGTTCTTTTTTAGTAGATTCATTTCTTTTCCGCGGAAGACGAGGACTGTTCTGGAAAGGTGTGACTACTACTACGACGACGATCACTTTTGGGTGGGTGCAGAAGTAAAGACAGAATGAGGATGGAGATGGCGAAGGCAAAAATGGTTCTTTCTATATGTTGGGCGACGGGGGCGAGCAGAGAAAGTGGTGTTTTGTGCCCTGACCACAATTCTGTTCTGTTTATCTACAATACCTACAATCAAGCTCAGAAGGAAACATTCAAGGGAGTACTGTACGACTCCTTCACTCGGTGTGTAAGAGATCTGTTGCTCCTTCCTTCCTTTGTGCCTAAAGTCAATTTCGGAGATCCCGGTCGCGCGCGAGTTTCGCGGCAGACTTCGCGTCCACCTCCATTAAACTTCGAATGGTGTGAGCCGTCACATTATTGCGCTGCACCACCACGCCGCATCCCACACAATCATGGCGTCGGAGTCGGCAGCGGAGTCAACGCTGGACTCAGTGGAGCGGGAAGCGCTGCAGGAAGGACAAGAAGTTGTACAGAAGGTGAGTTCGCACACTGCATGCGACTGTTGCAAGGCGAGCGGCCGTTGACGCAAGAATCCTTGCATATTGTAGTATGCACAGCCTCAAGACCTTAATCACGACACAGACACGGACACGAACGACGCGGTTGTGGTCGAGGAGTCCCAGGCGCAGCGGCAGCAGCAAGATTCGACGACAAAGGCTAGTGGCGAGGGCGTGAATGAGAATGAGACTGAGAATCAGAGAGGATCAACGGTGCAGGAATCTGTGCAGCAACTGACGCCTAAGTCGAGTCCGTCGCAGCAGAGGACGGCGCTCCTCCCACCGCCGCCAACTCTACGTACAAGCAAGAGTGTGCCCGATGCGGAGATGAAGGGTACGGGATATGGAGACTATGGAATTCGATTGGAGAAGTCGTTCGCAGGCTTTGAGCAGGGCGATGGCAATACGCAGCAGTGGTCTTCGCAGGATGTGATAAATGCTAGCCGGCTAACAGCGACACCTCAGAGGCCTGACACAGGTGGTGAAACGCAGCTCACGAACCGAACACCGCATACCCTCCAATCCGGAGATGCGGGCCATATCAACTTTAATTACTTCAAAGGCAGTTCGCCGAGCAGTGATGCCGTCTTCCTTCGAGATGACACGCAAGCACCGTCGCAGCTCCAGAGGACTCCTGCGCCCTTTCCACGACAGCCGAGTGACTTGCTCACGTCTGGAGCTACTGCGAAGACGCCTGGCTTCACACAGGCGTTTGGATTTGAAAAAGGCACAAACACGGGCATGACAGGTACGCAGATGTTTGCGCAAACACAGCAGCCTTCCTCAGATCTGCCACTGCCTCTATACTCCGATCCAATCGACCATCGACCAGACTTCGAGCAGCCTCCTTCGTCGCCGCCGCCCACATTGTCCTCTACCCCTGCAATGCCTAGAAGACCGGCTTCAGCTGGAGGCGAGCCGCGGAGTGACGTCTTGACCAGAGAGGCGGAGAGGAGGATCAAAGCTGACGCAAAGGCACAAGAGTTTGCCAGGTTGCAAGAACGGGCCGATCAATTCGAGCATGATGATCTTTCGGATGACACTGCGGATCGAATTTGGCGGGCAAGAATAAATAAAGCAGCACAGAGGAGCGACAACCACGCCTTGGACAGGGTCAGGGCGCCATCCCGGACGGGCTCTCGACCTGGCTCTGCTCGCAAAAGACGACACAATGAGCCTATTGACCTTAGAACGCCCGCTACAGTTCGCAAGAATTTTGACCCACTTATTGAAGATCTGATGCAAGATGAAGAGACTGATGATGAGCAAGAACTGCCCGAGCATCCAGCAGAGAACATTCAGCATAGCGAACACGATGATCCGGATGCAGACATGGGCGACGATGAACAATTTCCCGACGATAATGATGAAAATGAGCCGGACAATGGCAGCGTCAATGATGAATACGATGAACTTTCCGGCGTAATTCGTGCAAGCCAGGCAAATCTGGACGATCACTTGGAACATGACTCGGTTAATGGTAGTGTTGGTCCTGAGAACGACGTGGAGATGCTAGACAATCAGCGGGAGCCAGATGAACAAGGCAGCGTGAAAGCCGGACAAGATAGCGTTCCTCATCAGCAAGTGCCCGAGAGCACAAATCATTCAACTGTGGCAGACTCTCAGCCGATGCAAGACCAGCCTGCGCCCGTACAGCATGCTGTGCCATCATCCAACGTATCTCGTATCCCTGGCTCGCAATACAAGGCTCGGGAAGGGCAGGAAATGGCGGCCCCTTCAAATACCGGTGGAGGCCGAGACGCAGCCTCACAACAGCATCATAGCCACGTCGAAGAGGAGAAGATTCCAAGCAGCCCGCCTCTTCAGACTGCAGGCAGCACGATACCTCACGATTCAGCTGAGGCGTCGTTGCTTAGGCAAAAGATGCTGGATCAGTTTCAAGCGCGAACGGAATCGACTGAAGATGGGTCGACTGCCCAGCCTGAGATTCCCGAAAGCGATCGGCCAACTGCTGAAGCTTCCGAACAGAGTGAGAGCCTTCAAGCGCCATTCTCGACAGCACGAACGCACGTCTCAGCATCAGCTCAATCGCCAAACAGGGCATTTGCGGCACAGTCACCGATCAAGCCGGTCCAGAGTCAACATAGCAGGAGCACTGATGAGACTCCTCGGAAGCGTGCAGGCGTTCTTCATTTCTCGGATATCTCTAAGGCCCAGTTGAAAACGAATCCTAGCTTCGAGTCGCAGGACGTCAACAACGATATAGATGAGGTTATGAACGGCGTCTATACTGAAGGTGACAAGTCCTTCCAGCAGCACATGTCGTCGCCTGAGCGACCTAGAACGAAGCATCCAAAGCTCACACACACGTCTTCGTCATTGAGCTCCTCGTCGTTGGCCCGGCCTCCTTCACTCAGACCGGAGCGATCTGTGGTGGATGGTGGCATCCAGTATCCTACCGTTGTCGCGGCAAAGGAAGTTACGCAAGACCAAGGGGCAGGCTTTGCACGACCGCTGAAACCAGAACCTGTGCTTGACGGGCAGGAGCATGATGGCATGGAGGTAGACGTCGCACAGCCGGACGACACATCTGCAGAAATTGCGGAATCAGAGGCAGCGGCTCCTTCGCCCCCTGCAGCTCTTAGGGAGAGCCCGAGCAAGGCGAATAAGCTTCCGACTCCAACCATCAACTCAAGCCCGAAAGACAAGAATCGCCAAGACACCTCCGAGAGTGTGCGTGAGAGGGAGGAAGCCGGTCGAGCTGCTGTTTCTCAACTCGTCTCTGCTAGGTCTACGGTATCTGCTAAGCGCGCAAAGCCTACCACCTACGGAAGAACGAGCAGGCGGAAGCCATCTACAGCAACTTCTAAAGCTAGAGGAAGGGCTCGGAGTACGAGGCACACTACCCCGGCAGCAAGCGAGCATGAAGATGAAGCCCAGACAGGATGTCAGGTTGACGAAATGGCTGTCGACCAAACATCTGCAGATCCCCTGCCCCAAGCAGAAGACCATGAGGCGGATGAATTTGCAGGTAGTGACACTACGAAGATCGTGGCTCCTGAACGAGTTTTTGCTTTGTTCAAGGGCACTCCTCAGAACTTCTACCCAGCCACATGCCTTGGCGGATCTGCTGATGGAATGGCTTACAAGATCAAGTTTGACGACGGCACAAGCACGAACATCGACACACAGCATGTGCGCCGTCTGGAGCTGCGCATTGGCGATGTTGTCAAGGTGGACGATCCTGAGATGCGTAGGAAGAACTGGCGCATCAATGGGTTTGGAAGTGTCGCAACATCGCAAGACGACACTGAGCTCGGCACCGATGTCTACGGCCACACACGGCTCAAAGTTCAGGTGTCGCATAATCGGACTAGCATGGCAGGTCCGTCGTCCACTCCTGCCGATGATGGGGATATCAAAGAAGTGCTCGTCAATACTGTGTACATCACGCCAACGATGTGGCCGCAGTATAAGGACCGAACATTCTCCCCGTTTAAAACGAGCAAAAGCGTTGGGGAAAGGGCTGAGACTCCATCTACTCGCTCGAACACTCCTGTGGTCGAAACTCCAGCTTCACGCTCCCGACGTACCCCTGCGCCAGGCGGTAAAGCTAAGGTAGCTGGTGGCAGACCTTCACATCTGCGAGAGACGTCTGTGGCGCCTTCATCGTCCGCTGGCACTTCATCTGGAATATTCAGCAATATGGCATTCGCTATCTCATTCGTGCACGACAGCCCTGAGAAGGCTGAAGTCACGCAAGCGATCAAAGGCCATGGCGGTGCCGTGCTAGATGTTGGCTTCGAAGAACTTTTCGAGCTCCCAAGTCTCGATGGGGCCGCAGCCACGCCTCCATCCAAGAAGTCACCGCGAAAGCAGGCCAACGAGGGAAATGCGACCTCCCGACTCCAGCTTCAGGACAAATACAAGAACATCCGCTTCGCAGCATGCATTTCCGATAAACACAGCAGAAGAGCCAAATACATCCAAGCCCTCGCACTCGGTCTGCCCACGATCTCGGGACGATGGATCACCCACTGCTTGGACGCAAACAAAAACCGCAGTCTGAGCAGCGGCGAAGTCACCGCGATACCCTGGGACAGATACCTCCTCCCCGCCGGCGAGAGCATCTTCCTCGGGGGCTCGATTCGCTCACGAACTCTTACACCATACGACTCCTCGACTGCCCAACTTGCAATCACAATCTCCTCCCGCGCCAAGCTCCTCAACGGCGAAGGTCTCCTCATTGTCGCCCCACGCAAAGGCGGCGGCAACGAAGAGAAACGCAAGACTTTCGCATTCCTTACGCTCGCGTTGGGTGCAGGCCAGGTCAAGCGAGTGGCGGATTTCGGTGTTGCGAAGAAACTTGTGGCTGAAAACGAAGGTGTTTGGAAATGGATTTATGCTGATGGGAGTATTTTCGAAGATGCCAAAGGTGAGATCTTTGGCAGTGGGAAGAGTGCTACTGCTGCTGGCAAGAAGAGGAAGAGGTCTGACGATGAAGGTAGTGGCAAGATGTTTGCTACTGATGGAAAGGTCAAACTTGTCAATGATGAGTTTGTGATTCAGAGTTTGATTTTGGGGGCTTTGGCGGAGGATTAAGGGGGGGAAAGGCATGGCGCTTGAAATGGCTTTGATGATGGTACATGAACTCGAAGATACCCGGACTGGCTGGTGCATATGGATGACTGGCTGGTGCATATGAATGAACCCGGCTGGTGTCGCCGCAAGTTTGCTGTACAAATCTGTATGAATTACATTGACTCGCTCACATGATGCTGAGCCACGTGTGCTCCCTCCCTCGCTCAATCGACTCTTCTCGTTCTTATCAGACTAAGAAGAAGCAGCGCTCCCTGTACGACGAGACAAACCCTGGCTACCATCTCATACATTGGCCTCTCTCACATATCTCTAGGCATCTCTCCCTTCCACAACCCGAATCAAAACCTCCCCAATCTCATCTCATCCACGATTCCAGCATTCCATCTTCTCAGCTCTTACTAAATCATCTCAACCCCAGAGGCTGCAAAACCCTCTCCCTCGCCGCCCTCGCCGCAACCTCACCACCCTGCTGCATGGCCAGCGCCCCCACAATGGAAAAAACCGTATGCGCAAGCACGCTCTCCTGACCACTGGCCTTCAAATCATCAGAACGTCTCGGCTTCCATCGTATCACCTTATCCAAACCATATTGCATGGCGAGCGTGGAAAGCCGACGAGAGTTTACTATTCGGAGTTTTGTGGCTTGCGTGACGTTTTCTAACCCTGTGAGGGCCGGGTGGGCGAAGACTTCGGATTTGGGGTAAGAGGGATTTTGGGGGGATGGAGCGGATAAGAGGGCTATAGAGGTTTGGAGGTCCAATATGCGCTTGCCCAGGTAGGCGAGACGGTCGTTGAAGCCTTGGTTTCCGTGCGAGTGGGATTTGTGGGTTATTGCTGTCCACTGAATCACGAGGAATTATTAGCGAGGGGTAACGAGGTTGAGGCTTGGGAGGATGGGTGGTGTTGTTTTCTTACCTTTACTTCATCAGACAATAGATCCCTTCCTCTTTTATTTCCTCCCACGCGTCCACAGAAGTTGTCGTAGGCTTGATTCAATTTCTCGTCGTCGGTGTTTACGCTCCAGACTGGCTGTTTCGGCTGTGGTCGTAGTCTTATTGGCATTTTCAGGGCGGCAGGTGTTTGTTTCCATCTTGGGAGTTGGGATTGCGACTCGGGGGAGGATGTGCGAATGGGATTTATTCGTGTGACGGTTGAGGCTGCACGAGAGGAGGTGAAGTTGGTTTCTGATTTTGTGGCATTTCGCAGAGCGCGAGCGCAACTTGCGCAGACGAATGATGGGCGGTTTGGCTTCATTTTGGGTGTTTATGGTTATAGTAAGGAAGGTGTAGTCGATGAGACTATGGTCGACTTTGCGGCGAAGACGGGCATGATTGGAAGCTGCGAGCCTGAGGCAGAAAGAACGCGCTGTTCTACTTCCACACGCGACCTCCATCCTTTCTGAAGACGAATGTCCTCACTGTTTTTTTTTTCTAACACATCCACTTCTGAATCACCATGGCTGATTGGATATCGTGAAAGCCTGTTGTTGCCTTGGCACAAGAGTGCGAACATCACAGACGGTTCAAGTGCGACTATCCACAGTTCTATGGCGTCAACAAATGGAGACCGGCCGTCTAACGCGTCGCCGAAATCTCTCAAAGATACTCTCACCGAGGCATTGCCCTCCACATTCAAGTGCAAGACGCGTTATGTCTATACGCCTCCAAAGCCATGTGAGCCGTTGTTCTCTGCTTTGCCTGGGAAAGAGGCAGAGAAAACGCGCCTGGCCAGCCATTTCTTGACCGTCAGTGTCGATGCCTCATCTCTGCCTCAAGGAGGCAATGGAGACGTAATCAGCTTCGCAATCGAGGTACTGCTCTACTCGACGACATCTCTCACAACCCTCTTCGTCAGCAAAGTCGACTCTACATCATACATCCCTCGCATCAAGCCATCACCTATCAAGACGACCGTCACCGCTTTTCTGAAATGGCTGGCTTCGAAAGAACTTCAGAAGCATCCTGCACGCAAGATTGTTGTTTCGCTGTTCGCAAGAGCCCAGGCCCAGTATCTCTTTCCAGGCTCATCGGATGACAATGGCAAACACGTACTGGATGATCGACAACTGATTAAATGGTGGGCACGTGTGCTCGATCCCATCATCCCTACCGGAAACGGTGACCCGGTAGTACAGCATCAAGCATACATCACAGTCCCAGGATACGAAAAGAGCGAGCTGAGACAATTTACGCCATCTGGGTCAAACACTGGAGAGAAGCCGCGATGGCTTCCAGGAAATCCTCTTCTAGAACTGGCTCGCACTCGTGGTGTACCAGAGCATGCTCCACCAAGATGTCTTTTGCCTCGCTTTCCTGATGACCCAAAAGCCAGATTTATTTCCGACCTCGACGAGGAGATAGGCATTTCCCAGGACGCAGAGGTCACTATCAGTCCATCAAAGCGTAAGAGCGGAACATGGAAGTCGGTGACGGGCCTTGATCAGTTCTGGGAGCAGATGGAGTTTCGCCAAGAATGCTCGTCTGGAAGAGTGGTCGGCTTCCTGTGGCTCGTCATCTCGCATAAGAAGCAGGATGACGCGAGCTCAGAAGCTGCCAGCATCGAACTTGCGAACATTGACAGTCAAGACTCGTTGTCTTCTGTGCCTGTTCTGAGCAGTGATACAGGAGCGCAGGAGGACACCAACCAAGCCAATGGAAGTCCAAAAAAGAAGAAGAGAACCAGACTGACAGGTCCAATCATTCCACGTCTTCCAAAGGTCAAATCTACAACATCGAATCTGTCAGAGATGCTTTCACAGATCGACGCGCAACCAGGCGACGGCATTGCAATCACGAAAGATGGTTACGACAAAGCCATGTCAGTGCTTCTCCAGCTGGACTTCTCGAGCCTCGATATTGCATCTCAGTCAACCAGAAAGTGGACTGCACAGATTCAGGGCATAGCAGGCTTGACAGAGGACTTTGCCGTGGAAGTAATCGGAAGCGTAGTCTCAGAAACATCTGCCGCTGCCGCTACCCTCAACGGCGCGGCGCCAATCAACGACTTGGGTGGTTTAGTGAAGAAGAAAAAGAGAAAGGTCGATGAGACTGGGCCAGAGAATATGAAAGCAAGCGACGTTGAAGCAGGAGCGAATGAGCAGCCTGCAGTCAATGTTTTGAGCAGCGGCATGATCAGGAAGAAACCGAAACCCGAAGCGTCCTGAGCGATACCTACTTCATGACCACAACGCTGCTCAGTCTAATTGCTGGCTGAAGCCTTGCGTCACTGATGCAGCGGTGCCGAATCTTGTGCGCGAAATGTGATCGAGACAGTCCGAAGCCTCGATCGCTGCACGAAGTCTCTCGCCGCATTGCCCATCGACCCTGCAATCGTGCTTGAAGGAAGATGGCGAGGCAGTACAGAAATGAGTCAATATTAACCATGTTTGAGCCGTGTTCTTCAAGCATACCCAAGATATAACTCGAAGCAACACTTTCATCGCAACATGCGTGCTCTCGAGGGATGGACGAGTCTTCTTGAACCAGAGAATGAAGCTCGAGGTACGCATAGAGGTCCTGAGGCGAACAAATTGACCCAGCGCGTTAGATCGCTATGCACCAACATCCTTGGGACATGCTGGCCGCACGAGAAGACTAGGATAGGGAGCAGAATTGCTGAATGTGTTACGCCACGAGCGCCGCCCTTCGAAGCCAATCTTGGTTAGCCTGCAGGCACGCCGCACTGGGAGTGCTCTATCTTCGTTCAGATATGCGAAAGACGTCATTAGGTTTACGCCAGAAATATTCGGCGGGCCTAAAGCCCATGGGCCGCTGTGCGTTCAGACGAGATGGACGTTCTCGACCGCGACGACATATTCCCACATCTTGTCCTGAAGCTCTTGTGAAAGACGAAGCAGACGACTTCTTGGCTCTGTTTGCGGCGTCCGACCTTCTCTTTCGACTGGAATATAACATGGACGTGAAAGCCAGTGCCCGAAAGCGCTTCCACACGCGGGCGGTACCATAGTCGAAGGATCTCTCAAATGGTTCAACAATCTCTATTGTATTTATCAGTAGCCAAGGGATGAACTAGCAGATGAAGAAGACCGCAGCGCCAAAGCACAGTAGCGGATAGGGATGAGGCGTCGAAGGGAAGGCGTCGAAAGAAATCAATTTCCTTCGAGAATTTCTTTCCACGCCTTTCTTTCCAGACGTCTGGCAGCATGGCCATCACTTGGACATGGTGTGGTCAAGTCTCATCACTAGGATACGTGGTCAAATCTCAGTTGTCATGGCAAGGGGAGAAAGTCACATGGGATGCACGGTACAGTATCTGGTCCTTGCGCGATGGTCTGCGCCTTTTGCCGGCCCTTCTCGATTTCTTCTGCGCCATTCGAGGCAGTGATCAAGTCTTGATAATTATAGATCAGTGATGGTTGCATGAGATTCCAGACTGATGCATCCCGAGCTTAGAATATTTGGGGGGCCTGCGCCAAGTCCTTGTCTCGTCTCGCTCTCGCTCTCGCACGGCAGTTCACGCCTGGGCCCGGCTAAATTGAACAGGCCATGGCCATGTGTTCGCGTGTGGAAATGTCCAAGCTCTCTTTGGGTTCGCATGGGCTCGAAAGCTTCAAGTTCAAAAATCGTGAGTGCCTCATAGAATAACAGATCCTTGACTCTCCGCTCCCGAGCGGCGTGTGACTCCACTGCAGCCGTGCATATCGCAAACTTTACCATCTTCGACAACTTCATGCCGGACTGATGCCGAAAGCAGACCAACAACGAAGGCGACTAGTCACGACCTCACTGTCGACATGTGAAAGTCTGCCGTTGATGACGAGAATAAGCTGACGGCCCAGACCAGAGAACTCTGCGCGTGTCCGGGCAATAATAATGCCCCCAGACGTGCCCCTTGCGCATCTGCCACAGTCTGCAAACAACCTGGTCGAGCATCCATACACTTTGCCAAAGCATGAATCCTGTCCGCCCCGGGTTCGTGTTGCAACTCAAAGGTGCTCCCTTGGGCCTTGGCCGTCTCGTCGCATCTGGCGCCTCGCATCATACTCCACCATCGCGCGAGCAGACGAAATGCTCGGCGATATGCGCTGTTGAGACACCGGCCGCTTCTGCTCACCACACTCGACTCATGCTTGAACGACAATGCTTACTTCAAGATTGGCATTATGCGTTGCATACCTCCGCTTCGTTGCAGCACAGGATTGGAGAGACTACAACAGTTTGTGCGACGACACGTTCGATAAAGCGAATGCGGTATGACAACCGGACACTCCTGCGATGAAACTGCCAATTGCTGACATCCACATTTCAGTCGAGCGTATACACGTATGCACCGGACTTGAGAACGATCACCTCACGGCCGGCGCCAGTCTCGTGGGCTTACACCGTCTACCACAATGCCTCGACATTGCAAGCTGTATGGTGGTACAACACGGGCGGTGCTAATTATTCAGACGACTTCGGCATGTACGTGATTTGTAATCTGCTATCCGCGTGAACGTATTGAGCGTTGACCAAGATCGCATACAGGGGCTACGATGTCTGCGCATTCCGACTCAGAAATCTGACATCGCTTGCAACCTGGAACGCCTATATCAAAAACGACGATGGCTCTTGCAACAAAACCCTCGACGACGACTGTATCAAAGACCTAAAGAAACTTGCTCGACGAACAGCCATAGCACAAGTCGGCGAAGCCTCACCCGCCTCCAACCTGACGGAAGGAGCCCTACCAAAAGTCTGCAGCGCAATCGGCACCACCATCCTGAACAATTTGCCCAAGACATGTAAGAAGTACTTCGACGAGCGAGACTTCGAGGTCGCCACATGGCAGATGAGCGACTACAACAAGACTTCCCGCGACGTGGCATGTTGTAGTGATATCCAGTACAACAGTTGTCCCATCTATGCCAACGAATCTCAAGCAACTTCCACGAACCTTGAGATTACTGGTAGTCCCGACGATCCCACGACTGCCATGATGAAAGACTCCGAGCGATATCCAGGTAGCTGGCATGCCTGGTGGGGCCTGGACATGAAACTCGGTCTAGAGAGAAAGGGAGGATTCAATACTGATAACTACGACGCGTACGCTCATGGTGTATTTCCCATGTTGACGGTAAGTTCGTTTCCTCGTTCCCCTTCTGAAACCCTCGCACTGACTAACTCACTCATCTTACCAGGTCTACATGTCCCTCGCCAACCAACGCCGACAAATCTACATCGAACCCTTCGCCCAACTAACCTGCATGCGCGCCACCAACTTCAGCGAAGGCTCCCGCAAACCTCCACCCCTTCACCCCTCCGAATCCTCCTCAGGCCTCTCCCCCGGCGCAATAGGCGGAATAGCAGCCGGATCCGCAGTCGGAGCCCTAGCCGTCATCATCGCCGCCTTCCTGTACTACCGCCACAAACGCCTCACCGCAGCCGCAGCCCGCAAAGCCGCCTCTCTCTCCTCTTCCGGCACAGGTCCCACCGAACTCGGAGGCGACGGTCCAGCGGCTGAACTCGACAAGGGCAACGAAGTCTTCGAAAAAGAAGGCAACCTGCCCGGCATGGAAATGGATGCGAACGCGAAGAAGATTTTCGAGATGCAAGGGGATGAAGGGACGGGGACGAGGAGTGAGATGGCGGGGGATACGATTCAGAGTGAATTGGAGAGTCCCAGTGGGGAGGGTTTGGAGGAGAAGAAGAGGTTGGAGTTGTTGGAGAAGGAAAGGGGGATGGTGGAGCAGCCGGAGGTGGCGGAGTTGATGGGGAGTGAACCGATACAGAGACAGAGTTGGACGCCGAGTATACGGTTGGTTGAGAATGTTGATCAGCATCAGGGTGAGATGCGGGAGATTGATAGGACGAGGGATGCGGTTGAGGAAGAAGATCCGCCGAGAATTTGATGAGTGACATGTACGATGATGTCGACGAGAATTGTTTTGTTTTTGTACTGGAACTGGTTATTGAGAGTGCTTTCATCTGTGTACATAGTCGTCTCAGTGTCGATACTGTCCTGTCGCTAAACTGCAATGCCAAGACTCCACTGCAAAGGTTATCAAATTCACTTCTGTTCTTCTCATGACTCGCGATCGCTTTCCTCGTCATCGTCGTCGTCGTCGCTATCAGGCTGAGTCCCCATCTCTTCTGGCTTCTTTTTCCTTTCGTAGTCGAAGGCGTGAGCCGCACGAATTGTCGTGCCAACTCTGTGCAGTGCGTGAGTGACGGGTGAGCCGGCCATCTGCTGTTCGCTGCTACCCCCGCCTGTTCTTCTGAATCGCAAAGTGCCACTGTTGGATGATTGCTGACGCTCAAGTGCTGAGCCGTCGCGGGCGGAAGACGTTCCAGATCTGAAGACGTCTCGTAATGATTTTGGAGCCGTCGCCTTGGGCTTCGATTCGCTCTGCCCATCGAGCTGTGCTTGCCGTTCGGCCAAAGTTGGAGAGCGTCCCCGGTTGGCCTTCTTCTTGCTTCGACCAAAGTCTTTGTTGGCATATGGGTCAGGTCCAGCTTCCGCCTCTTCCAGTGCGGTCGGTACTACCACCGGTGAGAACGGCGCCGTTGCGTGGTCACGCCTGACCGTCCTGTCCGTGTCCTCCTCGTTCTCTGATGTTGGTGTGGTGATCAGACGACTAGTCGAGTCTTGCTCCATAATCTTGTACGGAAGAGGTATGTCCCTACTAGCCTTCTGCCTCTCGATGTTTGTGCAGTGCTCGTTCTCAACACGGAATACCGTCCACATGCCTCTTCGCAAAACTTCTGTGAATCCGACTAGAAACGACACGATCGACGAGTGCTGGACGTCAGATGTGTATATTGCGTAGAAAATCCAGTTGAATCGAAGAATGGGATCGATCACCATGGCAGCATAGTAGATCCATGCCTTCTTACGGTAGGCAAGAGTCGGTCGCAGGAACTTCTTTGGTGCGTAGAGGTCGCCCAGGCCTGTTGGATGTTAGTTGACGCCCGTGGTATGATGGGAGTAGCAGACTTACTCCAATCCATGAAGATATCCCAAATGCTGCAATAGATGCCATTCACTGTCGCCATACTGATGAATAGAGCCCTCATCTTGTTGTTCTGGTCGAGCCGATACAGCGACAATGTCATATACTGTAGTATGGTGGCACCATATTTCGCGCAGTTGACCAGATGAGGAAAGACCTGGCGCGTGTCTCGATAACGTCGGATACATTGAAAAGCACGCCAGATACCGGGCAAAGTCGTCAAGAATCCAAGCAGCCGGCTATTCGATGAATTACACACAGAAGGCGTATTCCAATTCCTAGCGAACAAGCAGGAGAAAAGCTCAATGTTTCCGATAGAATACGTGAGTGAGCAGAACATGTCGCCCATGAAGAAGTCTCTGAACTCGACACCGTACAGTCCTGAGCATACTAGTCTCCACTACATCAATGTAAGCACAGCTCACAAGCTTGAAGATAAACAATCTCACCAGAGTGTACAGAAACCACTTTCTGGCGTTGTGATACAGGATCGGAAATGGAAGGAAGAGAGCAACGACAGCGAGACCGATCAGTACCACGATCCCTGATACCATACGAATTAGCACTACATTTTCCGATGAATCGAAATGTGAACTCACAATATAGAAACATGGTATCTCCACCCGCTTGAATGTCGAAATTGAGCCATATAGTGACGCCAAGGAGGAAATAGAGCCAGGCCGGGATCTCCGACATCTGTAGCCAGTTGAGTGCTTGCCTGCTGTCGAGCTCAAAAATGAATTGGTAGTTGACTTTGAACTCGGTGAAGAATCCGGCACATCCGACGAATAGGAATGCCAATAAGACCATCATAAAGTACCCGGCGTAGAGCTGAAGCAAGTACGCCACATGGACATGTTTTGGTTCTGGTGCTGTGAAAAGCAGTTCGGCTCCTTTGACAAGTCCTTGTACACCCAAGACAGAGCCTGCTGCAAGTAAAGCGCATGTACGTGCGACTGGTCCGGTGAAATCGCCAGCTTTGGCAGTTTTGGTCCGGAGCTTGCTGACTGCCACCTTTCTGTTGCCCTTCTCAAAGTACCGAGCATAGAGGTCTTCCACGGTCGCCATGAGGTGCTCGACCTCTTCAGATGCAACGAAATGCGAAAGGTTGACCTTCTCTAAGGTATACTGCAGCTTAGGGTGTGCATCTACAGTTTTGTCGTACTTTTTATTGATCTTTCGGAATGCGGTGCGGTTCACCAACGCGTATGATTTCAGCAGCTCCAGCAGGCGGTAGAACTCGGCAAGAGCAGACTTCATTTTTCTTTTGGCAGTCCTGTATGGCACCTCTTTGGCACGTTTCCTCGCATAATCGCGCTGCTGGTTGTCAGGTACCCAATGAGAAGCAGGCAGGTTGGGACTTCCAAGATTCTCCCGAGCAATAGAGGTCTTTCCAACGCGGTTGGGTCGAAGCCTATCAATGACCTTGGCAGTCTCGTCGACGGACTTGTGGATTGGACGCCTCAAGGCTGATGGCAGTGCTAATCTTTCAGCTTCTGAGCTCACCTTGCCGTTCTGCCCGTTGATTTGGTGAGTGTTTGCAGGGCCATTTGAATCTTCATGAGAGTGTCTATGCCTCTCCTCTTCGGCCTGAATCTCAGCCAGACGATATTCACGCATGATATGGAGTTGTTCTCGCAGCGCCTCGAGTCGTTCCTTAGCCTCATTTTCTTTCGTCCTGTAGAAGGTTTCAATTTTTGCCAGCTCACGATCCAGGAAGAGAAAGAACTCGGCCTGCCTAAAGTCGAGCTCTTTGTATGCTTCCAGCGATACATCGCGATCAGCGCGTGCCTTCTTAGGAGTGGTATTGCCAGTCACTGAGAACATCCGCCTCATGAATGGTCGGCTGTCAGGGTTGGAATTCGTCCGTCGAGGGAACAGATCTCGAAGACGTGAAGAAGCTCCGCCAGGAGTTTGAGGCTGGTCTATTGCTGGTCTTATCGCATATGCATTGCCGACGTGGCCCATTTGTGTAGCCGGGGGATGAGGGGTGTATGACTCTGAAGATAATGATGTTGACAGTTCTCCAGCAGGCGGCGCAGCCTGTCCCGGTTTGGCTGGAATCACTGGAGACGTTCTTGGGCTTACTGGTGGGTAATGATCGGCAGCGTCTTCTACTGCAAGCGCAGGACCAGGTAATTCTAACGAAGCCGCATCCTGGCGTTTCCTCTTGCGGTCTGCATCACTAGGCGGACTCCCGATGATGCTGCCGTAGCTTGTCATGCGCTGGTTTGCGCCGGGCCGTCCATCATGCGCTTGGTGTCGGGTGTTCAAGGGACTGCGCTCATCCACGGCTCCGTGGGCGAAATCGATGGTACTGCGTGGGTTCACGCCGCTGTGCGAGTCACTTTTCGAGCGTACATGCGAGAGCGGCGGGTGTTGAGCGAGTCCGGATGCAAGAGAAGGCTTTTTACGGCGCAAGAGTGTGGCGACCGGGGCATCTACGAGAGAATTGCCGGGTGTAGTCCTGGATGTAGCAGAAGGTGGAAGGCTTCTGATGGCTTTTGCAACAGCTTTGAGCTGATTCGCATCAGAAAGCTGGCACGACAGCAAGGAACGGGAGGATGACGGACTTTCTTCTTTGCTTGCTTGTAATCAAAATATCCGGACTGGAAAATCAGCCGTGGCCATCCATGTTCGCCATGTTGCGCTGGGCTGGGCTGGGCTGGGCTGGGCCATACCTTCCACTCCGGAATCGCCTGTTCGTCCAATTCCTGGCCGACATGTTAGTCCTTGTGCCGCGCCATTCACAGAATCACATACCTTGGCGAATTTCATAGCTATGAATGCGTGATGCGGGTGCAGCGAAGCATGTCGTCGTGCTGTCGGCTGTCGGCGGTGCAACCACGCGTCCGAAGACGATAGAATATTTGGCTTCCTTGGCGACCAACTCTGATCGCATCCGAAGTTCAGCCGCGTCCCAGACATCTTCCTTGCGCGACCTCATCATCATCTCCATCGCTTCTCATGTTCAAGCACATTTCCCAAGGCGCACAGTCCTGGCACATGAAATGGCTGATGTGAAGCATGTGACCGCATTGCTTCCTGTCCATGCGCAAGCCACTCAGCAAGAGTCACAGGTAGGGAGGGCGCCTTTTCTGCAGCTTCGACTTTGATTGCTCTGAGTTCTATACACTTACATACAATACACCTCAACGCCTCTCCAGTCGGCCCAGCATGGGCGGCAGCGCGTTTCTCAGCGCCTCTGCCGAAGGCCATCCAACACTGCACACCCCTCGAATGACTCCGGACGTTTATGCGGCGAGAAAGACGCAATACACTGCTGCCCTGCAGAGCTACTTCCCCGAGTGCCACGTAGTCGCGCTCAAAGAAGCGCCCGAGAAGTCTGATTACGGAGATGTCGATTTCATGGTTTGCACAGATCGCAGTTTAGATCTGAAAAATCTCGCCACCTTTCTCGGAGCTGCAGGCGTCATTGATGGTGAGTGATTCCATTCTCCGCTCGTCACGTCGCAGACACTTGTCTTGTGTGTGGGCACTCGAAAGGCGAGTGGCCATTTCTCGAGCCACCGCTAACCAATATGCAGGCGGACCTGGTCGCTGCTCGATTGCTGTGCCTCAAGACGGCTCAAAGAGTTGCCATCCACCTGTTACCTACAAAGCTGCAGGAGGGCCAGGCCGCAAGGGGAAGCCTTCAACCGACAAGAACTATGCTCAGATCGATATTGAGCTCGTGCATCCTTCGATGTTCAAGTGGTATTCCTTCTTTGCATCCTATGGCGACCTCGCTGGCCTGCTTGGTGCAATCATGCACAACATCGGCTTCACGGTGAGCGATAGAGGTCTATTCCTACGCTTTGAGGAGCTTGACGAAGCGAAGCAGATGCAGGGTATCAGAGTAAGCAAGGAAGAATGTCTACTCCTCTTGTCGAACGAGCCAGAGGAGGTGATGAGGTTCTTGGGAGTGTCGCCTGAAAAATATGAGGCTGGCTTTGCGACGATAGATGTAGGTATCTCAAGCCGCTCTAAATGTGTTTGGTGAGACGGCAGCTGTGACATCGGCGCCACCGCCATTGAATTCCTGCTGACCTCTCTATTCAGGCCTTCTATACGTGGCTTGCCGAGTCTCGCCTCGTGACCGCTGACTTCCACATCCAGTCGAAGCGCAAAAACACCTCCAAACAGCGTCAAAAAGACCGAAAGCGACCGATGATAGGCAACTTCTTCGACGAATTCCTTCCAGCCTATTTGAACCTCGACACTCACCACGACAGCACAAATACAACGGCAGAAGATGCGGTTCCATGGTCATCACCCGCAATGAAGAAACTGCGCGAGAAATATGCAGAAGAAGCGCTCCAATTCTTCGACAAGAGCGATGCATACGAGATCCAACACAACACCCTCGTGGGCTGGCTACGAAGTCAGAAGGCCGAACAGCTGATCAAACCCATCGTCGCCGAAGTCAGTGGCAAGAAAGAAAGGAAACTAGCAGAAGTGGTGCGAGCATTCCGAAGACGTGTCAGGTTCGGTGCAGACGAAAAGCCATACATCGCAGAGGTCGCGCACTCCGATCAAGAATCAGAACTGCGGCGCTGGCTGGACAGTGCGGACTCTCTGAAAGATGTTGAGGCTGTGAGAGCATGGATAGAGGCGCACTGGGAAGAGCTTAAGGAGCTCGAAAGGCGTGAGGAAATTCATCCATCTCAAGGCCCAGACATGAAGTCGAAGGACAAGTGGCTTCGCGAATAGATAGATGCCAGCGGGGCAATACGCTAGCACGTCGTTATTAGAACATCTCGAAGCAGTTCTCGATCGTAATGCATAGAATGAAGCCTGGGAAATCCTCATGGATTACATTCTTTATGCCCTCTATCTACACAAATGTACAACCGACGAAAAACCACTATTCCCTCACCCGGAAGCAGTAAAAAGGTATCAATCAACAGCAACGCTCGCCGCCCGTGAATAAAAACGCCCATGTATACATAAGTTGCCTGTTGCATTCCGCCCGAGAGCTGTTTTACAGCAGCGATCCGAAATATTGAAGCAAGGATGATGTAGAACGTGCAGGAACGCCTTGCAATGCAACGCAGAGTAGGGGGAAAAATGCAGGATATGCATGCTGGGGCCGCCTTCCTCTTCATCATCTACTCATCGTCAACAAGTTTCCTCCCATCATGTGCGCTCTTCGCATCTTTCTCTAAGACTTCAAAGTCTCCCGTCATTTCACACATGCCTCGGAAAATGCCGCCTTCTTTGGTGATGAGGTCGTAAGGATCGCCATACTCCATGACTTCCCCCTTGTCGAGCACCAGGACTTTGTCGTAGTCGATGATCGTCTGAAGCCGGTGGGCGATGGTGATGGTGGTGTTCTGGATCCCGCGGATTGTGTCTTGGATTTTAGAGTCGGTGGCGTAGTCGATTGAAGCTGTAGCTTCGTCCATGAGGAGGACCTTAGGGTTTTTGAGCATGGCGCGAGCTAAACAGAGGAGTTGTCGCTGGCCTTGGGAGAGGTTCGAGCCGTGTTCTGCGACAGGTGTATTGAGATTCTTGAAAATGTTCTTGTTCTCAAGCGCCGATGCGCTGGTTGGTGTAGCTGGACTTGGCGGCGTTTCCGTGACCTTTGTGAGTGCCTGCTTGTTCGGCGAGGAGTTCGGTGTTGACTTGCGTGACGTGCCGACTGGGGTCTCAGGTCGCGATGCGGGTTGTGATGTGGACGCTGATGGTGCACCGATCAATTGTACGCCTCGCAGCACAGTGAAAATCTCCTCGTCAGTGAAGAGTCCAAATGGGTCGAGATTGCTTCGGACTGTTCCGGTGAACAGCGTTGGATCTTGAGGTACCATGACAATATTCTCGCGAAGATCTTGGAGACCAATAAGACCGATATCAACATCGTCGATCAAGATCTTGCCCTGTTCAGCTTCGAGCGCTCGGAAAAGGGCCAAGGCCAGAGAACTTTTGCCCGCGCCTGTTCTTCCCACGACACCGACCTTCTCGCCTGGCAGGATCTTGAATGTGATGTGCTTCAGGACGAAGTCGAAATCACTTCTGTACCTTGTGCCATAGCCAATGAACTCCACAGAACCTTTACTTGGCCAGTTAGCTTCGGGGCGGTTCTCGGGTATGATTGGCGCTGCCTCTTGGTCCACGTCAAGGTATTCTTTGACGCGCTCTACGGCATTCATGTTCTGCTCGTTGCTCGCATAGAGTCTCACGAACCACAGAACATTCTCTGTGAATGTGACAGCATACGTCATTGCCAGTCCAGCAGCGCCTGCATCGACTCTGCCCACACTCAAGATAACAAAGACACCAGTGAAGAAGGACACGAGAGCGCCAACGACATCGACACGCAGTGCCAACCACCTGTTCGCCGCCCATAGATAGATGAACGGCCGCGAGTGAGTGTTGACGCGGTGTAGATTTTCGCGAATGAAGCGTCGCTCGTCACCGTAGGCGCGGATCGTGGTCATGCCCGATAGGGTTTCTCCGAACTGCTGGTACAGTGGGCTCCGCTGGACAGACTCAAGCCGCTTCAAATCTCGAGAAGAGGCGATGTACAGTCGGCCAATGAGGAAGTAAAGAATTGTGATGAAGACGCCAGCAATCAGGAATCCAGGAGTAATCACAGAGATCAAGACCACAATTGTGAGGATCGAGAACATACAGTGCACGACCCCCACGGCAACTGGGGCAATCTCCTGATCAACAGCCTCGACATCCTTGGAGAAGCGGTTCATGATCTGGCCCAAGGGAGTGGAGTCGAAGAAGCGGAACTTGGCATGAGTGACCCGCTCCATCAATTGCCTGTGAATTCTCCTTGAGGCGGTCAGAGACCCGCCGAACAGGACAGCCTCTCGAAGCAGAGTAATCCCCATGTACACCAGACCAAGAACAGCATAAACGCCGAGATAGTAGCCAACATCAACATCGTCGTTCGTGATCCTCATTGTTTTGACATCCTGGACAGCATCTGACAAGACTGGCATGTTCCAGATACAAGATCCGCTGCGGAGGCAATTCGAGGAGCCACCTCGAACGTGTGCGACAGCAAATGTGTGGTTGCGTGATAAACCGCTAGCAAGGTAGTCATGCCTGGTATATGAGTTTGACCACTGTTGGATCCAGACAGTGGTAGAGACTTGCGAAAGCTGCTGAAGACCAAAAGACAAGGCTGCGACAATCCAGTAAATCCAGCCTCCCATCTGTCCGAGGTAAGAAGAAATGATACTGAGCTTGACAGCTCCCGTAGCTTTCTTTTCGTTGAAAATGTCTTCAGCTGGCTTGTTCATACCTGGGATGTCCTTTGAAATTACATGAGTCAGAGGATCGCCGGTAAGTGTGCTGGCCTCTGTATCACGCCTTGGACGATGCTCTCGAGCATGTCCGTTGGCAGTTGGAGGCGTAGCAATCTCCTCAGCATCGATTCCAACATCGGACGGAACCCGCGATGGCAGTTTAGAAGCAGGTGCAGAACGAGGCCTCATATCAAACTTCGATGGGTCTTCTGCAAGAGTCCCAGAATGAATCACATCGTGAGCAGTGCCTTGTGCCACAGTTTTGCCGTTTTCAAGCACCACAGCAAAGTCGGCTTGAGGCAAGCAGAGGACTGCATTGTGCGTGACCAGAATGCACGTACGGTTGTACATAAGCGGCCCCGTGAGTGCCTTCTCGAAGATCCACTTGGCCGTATGCGAATCGACCGCGCTCAGAACATCATCGAGAATGACGTGACGTGCGTCACAGTAAAGTGCTCTGGCAAGACTGATTCGTTGTTTCTGCCCACCGGAGAGCGTGACGCCTTTCTCGCCGACCAGTGTTTGGTCGCCCCCATCCAAGATTTCAAGGTCGCGTTGAAGAGAGCAAGCGACGATGACATTCTTGTACCGCCGCGCGTCGAATTTGCTTGCAAACACGATGTTCTCCTTGATAGTGCCATTCATCAGCCAGGCCTGCTGCGCGCAGTATGCGACGCTCTCAGTAAGTCCAGTTTCGGGATCCCGCTTAACTTCTTCCCTGCTTCGCCCACCAGGTAGATACACCGATCCGCTCAAAAGTGTCATTTCACCAAGGAGAGCCATGAGAAGTGATGTCTTGCCGCTGCCGGTTGGGCCGATGACGACGTTCAGCTGTCCAACCTTGAAATTCAGGTCGAGATTAATCATCTTGAAGTCTTCAACATCTCTGCCGCCCCAGCTGAAGGTACCTTGCTTGAATCCGATAAGAGGCTCGCCATCTTCATCGTACTCGTTGTTCTGTAGCTGTTGATATTTGTCTGTCTCGGGCTCGTTGAGATATTCCTCAACACGGTCTACGGACACCTTCGACTCCTGTACATGTGCAACCATGTCTGCCAGTTGGTCAAGCGGAATTCGCAGAAGACTAAACAGCGAAAGCGCCGTGAAGGCCACGGACGGAATAAGGTCTTTCTTCTCCACAAGCGTGTATACCATGAAAGTTAGAAAGGTGATGACCACGGGAGCACCGGACCAGATGGTCGCTGCTGCGGCCCAAACAATGTACCGATTTCTGAGGTGTCGAAGCTCTACCTGCCGCTTCTCGTCGACTATTGCCAGGAACCGCTGCTCCCATGCGAAGTACTTGATAATTCTGACGTTGGTCAGGACTTCGTTTGTAGTGTGTATTCTGGCATCGGTTGCAGCCAGGATCTTCTTTTGTACGGAAGTGAACTGCTTTGCGATGAACATGTTGACCGGGAGAAGCAGAGCCATCATGCCAATGCCAACAATACTACTATTTCCCAGGAAGAGATACAGAAGCGCGATGGCCAGGATAAATTGAACCGGGGTCTCGGCCCACAGAAAATGCAGATAAGCGCTGATCTCGGCCACTTTGAAAGAGTCGACTGCCATCAGGTTGATGATGGCACCAGAAGTGACCTGCTCTTCGCCGCCAGGTGATGGCTTTTTAGCGATGGGTTCTCCGTTGGCGATAGTTTTCTTGTTCTTCTTTCTGCCGAAGCCTAATGCCTTCTTGAGTGCGCTTTGATTTGGCTCATCGTCGTCCTTCTTCTTTTCGCCTTGACCAAGAATCTTGTCTGGTGCAGCAGCCGCACGTCTCCGCAAAGCTTTGGCGTAAATTTCTCCAATGATGATGGCACGCAACCGAATACAAACCCTACGCCCGATCCAGAGTGCTTGACCGCTCGATAAGGCGTTGACACAACCCGATACAAATAGGAGGATGACATACAGCCAGGCAGCATTCTTTGGCGTTTGTGAAGGATCTTCAACATATTGGAGGATGACTTTCAGCAATAATGTCGGCACAAATGTGACAATGCCCGAGATCGCGGCCCATCCAGCCTGCGCAAGTAGAGGGCGTCTAAAGTAACGAAGTAAATGCCAAGCCAGAATCGATGTCTTCTTCAATTGTCGATAGTCGGCCAGAATCTCGGCCGCCTTATCCTTCGGCCTCAGGTTCCAAACATCCTTCATCTCCAGAGGTGCTTTGTAGCCTCTCCACACGATCGAATCGACCCAGCCGAAAGTGGCAAGCGAGAAGACACTGGCAAGTGGCTCCTTGGATGGTTCTATTTCGCCTTCGTATTCTAGCTCCACAGCGTGGTTGCCTTTTCTCGAGGAGAGAGCGATGATTGACAGCAGAGTCGTGAGAGAGAAGTGTGTACTCATCAATGCTTCCGATATCCTCGACTGAGGATGTATGATTTCGGAGCGGAACAGCAAGACGGTGAAAAGCCATTGAGAGCAATACAGGAATGCGGTGTGATACCACAGCTGAGGGAATGAGAGTTTCGACGTGCTCGAAAACAGTAGTCGCAGTGAGGCGAGAAGTGCAATGTATGCCCAAATCGCCACTTCTGCAATGGCAGATGTCCTGTCTCGTCCCCAGGCTCGCACCAGCAACGCCGCCACTTGCACGCCTAACTCGGCCAGTACAGTGATCTCTTCCACAAGTGGTATCCATACTTCGCCTTTCGGTCGATCGACTGTCAAGACCGAGGCATTCGTTCTCGTCTTGGCCAGAGCCAGCTCTTGGTTGCGATGCATCTCATCGTCGCTACTGCTGTCGGTGAAGCTACCGTCGGGCGAATCGTGTAGAGGCGAATCGTGCCGCACTCCATTAGGTATATGTTTGTAGCCATCGTGCTCGGCTCTCGATCGACTCGCGCTTCGTAGGATGTGATATGCAAGGAACAGTGCGGAGATGGCACAGGCTATCAGCGGCAACAGCGTCTGCAGGTAATCGTGCTGGAAACATGATGAGAAGTCGTCGCTGTCCCAGATGGCGCCCTTGCACCGCGCGAACATAGTATTCGAGTCGCCCAGCAGCGCACTGGAGTGGCTCTCTCGGTCTATGCTCCAGGCCGGAGCCAGTCACTCGCGTTCTCGTCCAATGCCGCCGTCGACGCTCATCGGAGCATCGCCTCTCGAGGATGCGCCGGGGGTGCAGCTGCAGTAGGAGGGAGGGAGGAGAGAGGCCAGATGTTTATGGAGGGAGTGGAGAGAGCGGGCGATGTGGCTCACAGAACAACCACAAGGTGGAAGAGATCAGGTCTTGGTGTTGCTGGTACGGCAGGCCGAGATTATCAACGATTCGATGTTTCTTTCGGCGGGCAGCTCGCGCTAACGTCACTGCACTGCCTAGACCTACCTGGGTGGCCCCCGAACCGCCGACATTGAAAGCCTATCTTATTGGGTTGTCAATAGACGATCCATGGTCCACTGGGCGTGACTATTCATAAACCTGCCCTAGTTATATGTAAACCCGCCCTCCGGCAACGGAGGAGCCTAAGGCAAATTAGTTAGTAACACCTTACTAATTCTACCTCTATCTTCTCTACTATAGGATTCTCGCCTTACCTTACTATCGCTAATACCTTATTACTACTAATATCTTATTATTGCTAGCACCTTATTGTCGCTACTATATCGAGCCCTTCTACGTAGTTATAGGCTAATACTGCCGCCGCTGCCGCCGCCGCCGCCGCCGCCGCCGCTGCTGCTAATAAAGAATATACTAATACCTCGCTCTTTAATAATAAGAAGCGCTAGTTAAGGGACCTACGCTAGGGCTTCGCTCTACCGCCGTAAGAAGGCGATAAAGGAGGTTTAAAGCTATAGGTAGAGTTGCTATACGGTAGCCGTAGCCTAATATCGACGGAATACCTTTATAGTATAAATTAGCGGTATTTAGATAATATTATTATAGATTAGAGGTCTAATACGGCGTAGTAGGCAAGGGATAATTATATCCGCCTTACGACGTATAAAATAGAGGCTAGATACGACGGACTCGACCCCTAGTTATATAAAGAGCTAGATAAGGAGTTTATAGTATCTAAGGACCTAGTACTACTATTTCTCGATAAGATAATAGTATAGTACGCTACTAGGTATACTACCGTACGCTTTACGCTTCGTACGGTCGGTAAGGCGGCTAGTCCTATATAGGGCGGCGCTAGTGCTAAGAGTGTTATAACTAGTGTTAGTAGTAGTAGTAGTAGTAGTAGTAGTAGTAGTAGTATTATAGTCGGCGGCAGCGGGGTTAGTTAGTAAGAATAACTTCCTCCCTTAGAAATCGAGACTGCCTCTTAACCTACGTATATCTTTAGTAATAACGACGAATATAGTAACTAGTCTAAGTCGGAAATAGAAGAATACTAAGCAGTCTCGTTTACTACTATCGAGAACCCCGAAAACTATATATTTAATAGTATTATAGCCGCCGAGGAATACGTAGAAACCTTCGCTTTAGAGAAGAGCTTTAAGACGAAGAAGATAGGCTATAAGCTTAATAAGGACAACGTCACAACGTACTCTAGCGGATAATACGCCGCTACGCGCGGTATTTAATACCTATAATGCGGAAAGCAATAAAAGACAAACGAGAGGCACGGCGGCAGCTTAATCTAATAGCAAAGACACGAGAAGGTTACTCTAAGCTATACGATTGCCTATAGTCTATAACCCTCGCTGCTAAGGATTAGCATAATCCGGACGATAGCTACTAGTCTGTCTTATAGAATAGCTCTAACTACAACTATCTAGTAGTCTATCCGATAGTACTAGCTAACTACCGCCGAAGAGCTCGTACGATAGAGATTGTCGAGGCTATATTATAGTTAAGGTCTATAGGCGTTAGCAATCGATAGATTAAGGCCGCTATTAAGCTCCGTTTTAGTAGTAGAGACTAGTAATCGCCTATTATACCTACTACTTTACGAGACATCTTAAATGCCTAGTAAAAGGCTAAGAAGTTGCGACTCGCTAGCAAGTTAGTAGTTAATAAGACGATTAAGGACCTCCTATAATAGAACTACTTCGTACAGAAGGGCATTAGCACTAGACTAAGCAGTAAGTAACGGCTAGAATAGCTATATTTCTCGTACCCTAAGATAATCAATATCTATAAGAATTATCCGGATATTATAGTTATAGATTATACCTACAAAACTAACGAATATAGTATACTATTGCTTATAATTGCCTTACTTAATTAGTTTAACTAAACCTTCCCTCTAGTACTAGTTTTTATACTTAGATAAGCGACTAAGTAGTATTTAATTGCTATTTAGTATACGTAGGAGTTGTTAGTAGAACACACCTATAAAGAGCCTCGCCTTATAATCTATAACCGTAATAAGGCACTAATAAAGGCGCTAGCAAGCGACTAGACTTATTTATATATATAGCTCTACCGCTAGTATATTAGACGCGTAGTAGAGGCTAATTCGAAGGCCTTCCTTAGCACTAGACCGCCGGATCTAATTATAAGGCATAGGCTATTAAGTGTAGCCGCATAGGACTTTATAGACCTATTTAATAAGGCTATTAACTTACCGTCGGTTAAGTCGTTTATAACTAACTCGAAGGCCCTCGAGAACGGCAAGATTGCCGCTAGTAAAGGCGAGCCTATACGCGACTACTCGGACAATAAAGACTAGTAATCGCTAGCTAGCTATATAGCTAATATATAGTAGGTCTATCGATAGCACTATATTAAATACTAGATTAATAGGACGCGGTATTATAGTAATATAACAACCTTGCTAGTAGAAGGTTGTTACGCTAGTATTAAGGCATAGTTAACGACCTATAAGAACGACATTTATAGCTTTATTAATAGGATAGTACCCTACTTCTAGTACTAAGTTAACCGCTATAGGCTTATAGTTAGAGCCGAGATTAGTCGACCTACTATACTATTCTTAAGCGATCTACTAGTATTCTACGCTAAAGTTGTTAGCTATATTAGTACCTTCGCTCTACGTAAAGTAGCCGAGCGAAGGGCTCTCGTACGCGCCGAGCTCGAGAAGCGGAAGTCTAACAGTTATAGGCTATTAGATTATACCTAGTTAGTAATGTTATTAAAGAGTCTATAGCTTAAATTATATATACTAGATACTAGCCCTTAAGGAGTCTATATATAAGAAAATAGGTATATAGCAACGTATAGAACACCCTCTACTAATCGCCGTAGTAGAAAGTAGAACTAAACTGTGCCTTTTTTAGAATAGGGCAGAGTGTTTACTATTAACTAGGCTACGTACGGATAGCACATATGCCGAGCTAGCAACCGAGTATATCCGTACGAGCGACCGAGCTTTTCCGCGTATACGCTAAGCAGGCTTTGCGCTAGCGAGATAGTACCGCAGTATATATAATAACATTATATAATTGTTATATAGGCTTGCTAAGGCATAATAGGAGACTTTACTTACTTAGGTTCTTATAATTATCTCCTTCCCCCGGTATAGCTATCCTAGCTATAGGGCAATATAGTAAATTATACTATTTCTTATACTCTACGCTATACTTGCGCGTCTTATACGCACCTATCGCTAGGCTATAGTTACTAGGCACGTTATAATTTGCCTCGTAGTTACTTATTTATTTATAGATTTAAAGCGCGGCTGCTTCTAGCACTAACTAGAGGTTGCCTAAATTTTTAAGAACGCGGTAGCTACGCGAGAACGCAAGCTATCCGAAAGCGAGGCGAGTATTTAAAGTATTCGAAGCCCGCTTAAAAACTTCTTCTTTTTCTAAGCGCTCCGAACACTATCCGCCTACGCCCCGCCTACTCCTCTCTCGCGCCCCCCTAGTATTACTTAAAGATTTTTCTTTTTTAAATATCTATCTAAAAAAAACATTACTAGTATATCTACCCCTTCGCGTACCTCTAGTAAGCGCGCCGTAAGCGTACCGCCCTCGATACCTACTACGCCTACCTAGCGCCTACTAAAAGTCCTAGAGGGCTATACTCGTTACTTTAGGTATATAACGGCTAATAGTATGTTTTCTCGCCCCTTGCTACGTATATACGCTTCGTAACTAACTCGCTTTAGATAACCTATCTAAGCTCTATATAGGCGGTAATATAGACCCTACTACTAAGCGTAACTACGATCGCTGCCGTAGTAGCTACTATACCTATACTCCTATTACAGTACGCGCGCTCGTATCGCTACTAGCCCGTATCCGCGCCGCGCGCGCTACGCGCGACCTTTACGATCTAGACGGCTACGACTCTATCGAGGAGTCTAACGAGGCCCTAGAGGCACTCTAGGCTAACCTAGACGCTATCGTCGCACGTAGGTTTCTTATACGCTCCGCTTGCGCTTCGTATGCTAACCTCGATATTAGTTATCCTATCTACGCTCGATGCCTTCTATATTAATAAGAATAAGGTAACCCTAGGCGGCAAAGCCCTAGCCTATAAGGGGGCCGCTAGCGGGTCCCTTACAGATGTTAACTTACTTAGTGCCCTCGAAAACATCGGCACTAACTTAGCCGGCTTAGTAGAGATCGGTCGTTAGGTATAGTTTTTCCTATAGCCTCGTCTTATCTACGCTTCGTATACTAACTATACTAGAACCTCGCCTAGCGCGTCGGCGCTAACGCCGTCGCCGCTATCGATGCCGCTATAGGTATCGAGTAGAAGGAGTCTAAGGAGGAGTCTAAGGATAAGTAGAGTAGGCGGCCTACCGTTAGCGCGCCTACGCGGCGCCTTCTTTATATATACTAGGCTAATAGGCCTTTTTTAGTAGCGAAACGAGTACGTGTCTACTATTTTTCTTAAGTTTTATTTTCTTTTGTTTTAATTACTGCCTACGCTTACGCTTCGCTTAAGCTTCGAACTCGTCTAACGCTATAGAATCTTTAATATAAATAGCTAGCTCCTAAGTGTTGTATTCTTTAGGCTAACCTCGCTACTTAATAAGGTAGTACGCCTTCCGCTTCTTTATCTTCTTTGCTACGATTGTTTCTACCTACTACTTATCGCCTTTAGCGACGGGTATGCTTACCTTATACTCCTCGCTATCGCGCCTATACTAAGGCTCGAGGAGGGAAATATAGAAAACATTATAGATCTTCGTGCTTAACGGCAGTGCTAGGCGGTACGCCTACGCTCTAACTACGTTAATAATGCAGAAAGGCCCTATATACTTCGGGCTAAGTTTCTTCTTTAGGACATCTAGGCTAATATTCTTTGTCAATAGTAAGACTAAGTCGCTTATACTATATGTCTTAGTAGTATAGTATATATTATATTGCTTAGCCTAGTATTCTGCTGCTTTCTGCTAGCGTTCCGTAAGCGTCTTATATACTTTCCGTAGTCGCTCCGTAGCGTCGATAGCTGCTAGTACCCTTCCCTTAGTTAGCTCGTCCCGAGCTAGCAGCTTATTTGCGCTCGGCATTAAATTAGGGTTGAAGCCGTAGAGCATCTTAAAGGGGCTTATAC